CTTAAAAACAAGTAACCCACAAAATTTCTCTCCTTGTAATAATTTTGAAAATATAAAACCAAACAGGGAAAAATGTCAATTTATATATTAAAACCAAACAGGGGAAAAATGTCAATTTATATATATATCTATATTATATATATATATAGATATATATATATTTCACCTTTTTATCAGACATATATATATTTCACCTTTTTATCAGAAATGGCAAATACCATAATGTTGCATATATATGTACATATAACACATAATTATTTGAGCATAATTAATTTTTTTTTTCATTTTTAAAATTTACGTGAATATCTTTTGTCACGTTGTAGCCTAACCTATAACGAACAAAGTAATAAAAATGGAATTGGTGAAAAATCAATAGAGTTGAAAATGGGCCCCTATTTTGAGTGATCTAAATGTAAAAACGTGCTAATTTCATGTATGTCGTTGGTGTCCCAATAATTATATCACCTTTCCCAATGGATGCAAGAAAATGGTACTCCATACAACTGAATTGACTACTCATGCCGAACTTATCTACACTTGCAAACTCTCAAATTAAACCTACTCCACCAACTTTTCACTGAGAATGGTACACGGTTTCAACTTTTATATGGACGAGAATATAAATTTTATTTTTGAAAAATAAATTTATTAAAAGGCCCTCTATAGTTCAAAAGAAAATTATATTCAGATTTTCAATATATATACAATAAATAGTAATAAATAGTAAGAGTCATTGTCAATGAGGCGGTGGTCTGATAGATCTTCTTACTTGTATGAAAAGTGAGAGATTTCGACCAATTTGATAAGTCAAGAAGAAGGTTACCCTCTGCTATGTAGTTCACAGTATTATTTCGTCTCATAAAAGTCTTCAATGAATTAAAAAAAAAAAAATAGTAAGAGATAAGTTCTACAGCGGATAAGATTTTGTAGATTGGGCTTGCTGAAGCCGCAGTTGAAGTATGAATGAGGAGCCCACAGAACTACATAACCATTCGATTTTGGGAGGGTTTTTTCCCCGTTTTGTAAGCTTTTTTTAGAATAATAAAATAAATTATAATTAAAAACTCAAAAAAAAAAAAAAAGACCTAACCTAAAATCTATAGCATTAAGTGAAAAAAAAAAAAATGGTTCTCTTAAAATAAGTGTATTTTGGCTCCTCCTATTTTCAAAATTAGGAATTAAATTATGGAAGAACATCCAAAATATTGAAGGACAAAATTAGTTAATAGGTGACATATGCCATTATATACCTCCAATCTTTGGTCCTCATAAGTTATTAGAAGAGAAGATGTGGAGATGTACATTTCACATGCATCTCGAGTTAGATATACATGTACCATAAGGACCATTGAGAGGGTATCATTTTTTTTTTTTTAAATCACCGGTATCCAGATTCTATTATTATAAATTGACTAATTTGGTTCGGGACTTAGTCATAGTCAGACTCTTCACCACTTCCTGCAAGTGTGTTTAGTGGGAATCGAATTCGAATTCAATAGCTCTTTTCACATGCTTAGCTTGCATTGTTAACTGAGTTACAATCCTTGGATTTTATTTTTATTTTTTAGAGATAAATACCTTGGGTTTTTTTGTCCATAATGTGACAAGAAACTAATACAATTTATACATACACAAATGATAAATTTGTACTGAATTTTTGTATGCTTCAGAGGAGTGTCTTGAAAATATATTTATTGACCAACTCCCACTCATTTATGTCTAATCTTAGGACTACATAGTACTCCTCTAGTTTCATCTCATTGCTTATTAATTATCAATTATTATTTATCTCATAATATAGAAAATAAAGAATGCAAAACCTAACACTCTTATTTTAGAAATTTTGAAGTATTCTAAAAGAAAAAAAAATTTTTGATAATTGTGCTTTCACAAAAAAAAAAAAAAAAAAAAAAAAAAAAAAAAAAAAAAAAAAAAAGTTCAACTTCTTATTTTGTTGTTTCACGGAGTAAGTTAAACTAATGGTCACCTAACTTTTACTTTCAATTCATACGATCACATCACTTTAATTTGTCATTTTCAATAGTTAAACTTTGATTTTGTTTCAATGGACGGTGACTCACTGGAATACTGAAATCGAAAATATTAATATAGTAACAAAAATAAAATGTTTTATCTTAAAAATTTATATTTTCTCTTAATATATTAATTTGGAATCGGCCTATTAATTTATTTAACAAATAACGACATTTGCAAGAAACAAGTTTTAAAAAAAAATTAGAAAATAAAAAGTTTTCACTCTTATCATTTATATTTTCTAGCATTCTTTCCTTTCTTTTTAATAATGCTTTGTAATCATGTTTTTCTTATGATACATGTAATTTTCAGTGTTATACTGCTATTTTAATTACCTAATTCTAACGAGTGACCTTCCGTTGAAATAAAAGTTAAAGTTAAGTGACTAAAAAATGACAAATTGAAATTATGTGATCTAAATAAGGCTAAGTGTAAAATTAGGTGACGATTGATATAATTTACTCTTATTTCATAATTTATGTATTTTTAATTATTATTAATTCTTAATTTAAGTTTAGATAATTTAATTCATACTGATGTGTTAGAATGATACATGAATATAATCTCAATTACCAAAAAAAAAAAAAAAAAAAAAAAAAAAAAAAAAAAAACCACTAAAGGGGATATGCTAAGAATTCTCTTTAGGTGTACCTATCAATCGTTGAACTGGATTCAAAATTAGGGATAGCATAAGCATAGTTCATTTGAATATCCATTTTAGGGCAAAGTGTGATCTAAGTCACTCTCCAGCATCTCGTGCCTCGAGGACCTCAACTATGCTAACTTGCTAAATCACTAACAAACAACAATGCCCAAATACATAAATTCACACTTATAAATTTTTTTTTTTTTTTAAAAAAAAGAAATTTTGTACCACTTTTAATTTTTATTTTGATTGATGTAATATTTTTATTTATAAAATTGCACTTGTTGGACAATTGTAAACTTTTTCTATTAAATAAAATCAATTAAACACTTATGGATAATTTTTTTAAAAAAACACTTATTAAATAGTTAAATTCTGAAAAATTATTGTTTCAAAAGTTATAATAGCCGGAGAGCATTATTTTCATTTCATCTACATATATATGGAAATAATACCCATTAGATACTTTAAAGTATGACATTTGTATTGGTAACCATGAAAACAAAAAATCTTTAATGGCAAAAATTATTCAACTGCCATATTAATATATGTAGAAAAGTTCCATGCAATATTTGAATCTTCATGAGAGTGACTAGGAATCCAATTCTCACAATCCTAAGACAATTCTAGAGAGGTTGGGAAGATATGCTAAAAGCACATAAATCTACAGAATTGACTACCATAGAGAAGAAATAGGACAAAGCAAATTAAATTTAGGGTCCTCTCCCCTATGCCTTTTTAAATCCCATTTGCCCATTTTGATTACATGTGTAAGCATATTTTGAAGTCATGCTACAAATATATGCTTCTGTTTCCCTCATTTCATTTTGCCATTTGAGCAAAGTATACTTGAGCACATTCTAGCTGTGTACAGTGAAGAGACAACATGATCCCTTGTTTGTTAATTTGAGAGGGAGATAGGTGGGTGGCTGCATTAATGGATATTATGGTGTCAATGGCTTTGATGGATATTGTAAGGACAAGAATGAAAATAAACATATAGTATCTGATGTGGAATATTATATTATTCTTCATCCATAATGAAATAATTCTAGAAGAATTTATTTCTTGATGGGTCTTGATAAAAAAATGTCAAATATAATAAAGACTTAAGGCCTTGTTCAGTACTATATGTTTTAATACCTGATAATCATTGCAGTAACTACTAGAAAATTTTTCAAAGTCTACTACATCTGTTCCATAATATTAACTCTGTTCTAAAATACTTGTTACATTTGTGGTTTCAAGACTACATCTGTTCCATAATATTAACTCTGTTCTAAAATACTTGTTACATTTGTGGTTTCAAGGAGTAATAAATTTTTTTTTTTTTTTCATGTTTACCCTTTATATATGACCAATAATTATTATTTCAATCTAATGATTTTCTTAAATAATTAGTATTACATTAAGAATAATAAAGTCAATCTACTCAATAATTTATTGTAACTTAGATAAATTTAACGGTTTTTTTAAGATACTTGAAATTTTAAATGTAATAAGTATTATGGAACAGAGATAGTAGTATTAAACATTAAACACTAGGAATATTAGCTATCAATTTTTTATATAGTGGTTTAAAGCATGAGTAAACCTTCATTGGGCATGTGGAATTAGTCACCTTTAGTCCCTCATCGTCTCCAAAGCTGTGGTGGGATAGCTAAACCTCCTTTCAGTGGACCATTTGTCTAGTTAATTCCGTTAACGAATCAGCTTCTTAGAGGGATTACGAGACTTTCTTACCTTCATTCCATCAATGGAGCATTTGTCAAGTTAATTCCTTTAACGAATCAACTTCACATAGAGGGACTATGACTTTCTTACCTTCATTCCATCAATGGAGCATTTGTCAAGTTAATTCCTTTAACGAATCAACTTCACATAGAGGGACTATGACTTTCTTACCTTCATTCCATCAATGGAGCATTTGTCAAGTTAATTCCTTTAACGAATCAACTTCACATAGAGGGACTATGACTTTCTTACCTTCATTCCATCAATGGAGCATTTGTCAAGTTAATTCCTTTAACGAATCAACTTCACATAGAGGGACTATGACTTTCTTACCTTCATTCCATCAATGGAGCATTTGTCAAGTTAATTCCTTTAAAGAATCAACTTCTTAGAGGGACTCTGACTTTCCAGGCCAAGAAAGTTTAAGCCAATAACATGTTTATAATATTTTTGGATTGCTGTTAAATGTAAAATAATTTTTTAAAAATTCAATTAGTTGTTGCACACTAAATAATGTTTCAATAAACACTCTTTCAAGATTTCCTCTAAATGATACAATAAAAATTATGTTACTTTAATCAAAATATTAATTAAAAGTTGTTGTCGAATAGAACCTTTAACTTAGGACTTGTTTGACAAAATTAATTATTTTAAAAACAATATATAGTGTTTTATTCTTAATCAAAATGTTAAATCGCTGCATAAAAAGTTATTGTCTAACAAAGCCTTATAATCAACAATGCAGAATTAAACAATAAGTATTGTGTATATGTCCAACTTTTCAAAAGCCTGTCTTGTTTGTCCGGCGTTCAAACAGCTCTTCAGCTAAAGGTAGATGGAATGGCAAATATCAACTCGCCCTTGTAATCCCTAGCAAAGCAGAGGCCTTCTCTTGCAAGACCTTCCATGCTGCTGTTACATGTCTTTCTTCAGTCAATGGTGCTCCTACCGCAAAACGCAATGTATATTTGCCGGATAAAACCTGACAAAATGGTTGCCAACAAGAAACTTAACTTTTGCACCACCAGCAACTAAAATAAGTAAACATTTGGGGAGATAAAGAGAGGATACGCCGAAAAAAAATAAAGAAATTAAGCGTTTGATCAGCATTTCAATTGTTATGGAAGAAATATAAAAATTAATAATGACTCACTGTATGAGATATAAAAGTCCTCCCTGTTGAGTTTACTGCATCTAATAGTTCATGGTTCAGTTTGTTGCCGCGGTCTTCATTGTTACGGGGAGGTAAAAGACGAAAACAAACCAATGAAAATGTTCGAGGGGCAACAATCTGACCATATGAATTACGGAAATGATTCAGGCTATTTATACGAGAAAGTCATACAACAAAAACCGTAAAGTAACAGTAATATACAGGAAATGAGGTCTAGTTATAAGAAAAGAAAAAGACAAAGTAGCATGTCTCTGCAACTTCTGCAAACAATAGTCACCAAACTACTAGTAAAGGATGAAATTACCTCAAACCTAGTGTCTTCAGCAACAAGTCCTTCAAAATATTTGGCCAAATTAATATGATTTCTGATGTAGCATTGGAGGTTTTCCACACCATATAATTGTAATACCATCCACAGTTTCAATGACCTGGAAAGCAGCATCTGTGTAATAATTGTTTTTGCCTTTGGTAATTATTGGGTTTTGCAGAAAAAAAACCTCATCAGCATCATAGACCTGATCATACTATGAACTGGGTTATATTAGGCCTAATCTTTTCTATGCAAGCCTAAGTCCGACCTGGCTCAACCGTGCAGGCCTATTCTTTTGTCCAATTTTGAGCCCCTAAAAAATTTTAAATTCTGAGTGCATGCCAAACATCCAATGTATTGTTTCTAATATTTCAGTTATATTAGACATAGTCCTTTAAAATTTAGTATTTAATTATATATTTTTTTTCAAAATTAAATGAGTTCAGGGTGGGTCGGGCCTAAGGAAAAAAATTCATGCCCAAGCCCAATAAATCGGTACCCAAGCCCATGCACATGCATAGGCCTATAAGCATGTAAGTATTAGGCATTCCAAATAATATTTACTTCAATTCAATATCCTCTTGAGTACATCATAATTCTCTTGAGGCAAAACTCTGAAGTCAGAGAGTACCTAAACCGACGCCCAAGAGGAATTTGCCAATCCTTGTAATCTACAACCTTGTTTGCTTCGGACAGCTGCAATGTCAATGTAATATGAAATATTAGAACATACAGATATATTGATAAATCACAATGAACAACTTTCAGGTAATTAATAATCCAGTCATCTAATGTTATGAACTCTTGTTATTTATCACACATTATTGCAGCCCAAATAATATAGAAACTCATAATTGTTAAATTACAAACAGGCTGATATTGTGATACTGCATCAACTTATTCATCCCCACCTCAAGAAAAGTAGTGGATATTAATCATTTTCCCTTAGATCATATGAAGATGACATGAGCTAGAACCTAATTTCTTTTCTTCTGTTATGACACCCACCGATTGTATAGAATATAGATCCTATGGATGTGCATAGAAATATCTTAGCCTCCAAATTGGGAGATCAATGGATTTAACTTCTAAGCTACTTAGTCAGTTAGGAACAATATGAATATCGCCATGCTTCAGTCCTTGCTATGTCAAGAAACTTTTATGTCAAACACTGGTAAATTGTCATGGAGGCAACATATCAACTTGTATCTGAAGAACAGTGTGACACTAAGGAACGTATTTTAAACCTTTTGTACAAAACTGTAAATAAATAGACAGAGGAAATGTGGAAGGAACCTTACATTGTTTTTCAGAAACTCTGGATTTGTAGAAAGTGACTGAATAAGAGCATTTCTATCCTGCCATTCATAATATACAAATATTGAGTGCTTTTACATACTAAGAGCTAAAATAGTCAAGAAGCATCAGAACTGAGACATGAAACATGTAGGAACTATATTAAGTGCTGCATGAGGCTATTCTTGATATTTTCACTATCAAAGAGACAAAAAGTTCAAAACTGTTTTAATGGTAACGATCTCCATTCTATCAGTAAAATTACTTATCTTTTAGGATTTCAAAACTACAAAAAAAAAAAAAGTTTCTAAAATGCAAATGCATTTAGGCAAAGCCACACATATAGAGGGTGTTATAAATATGGAAATGAGGACATGCCACACCTTCACCCAAAGGGCTGAGCAATCAAAGTTTGTTAAGAACCATTTATGCGCATTCATGTTAAAAGAGTCAGCTTTTTCAACACCATCAATGTAACGTCGGTATTCTGGACATATACACGCACTTCCAGCATAGGCAGCATCCACATGAAGCCACATTCCATTATTCTGTCAAGAAGCCAATGATTCGAGCATTAATTATCATTAAAAATATAGCAATTTTCTTAGACAATCTTTTGAAGGCCATTATAACCTCTTTGGTCTTCAATTTTTACGGTGTTCTGAATAGGAGGAACCCTAGAAATTAGAATTACACCTCATGACTGTCAACATCCACAGCATACAATATAAGACGATGCTCTTTTCACATTTCTTTACAGGTTTTCTTCACTTGTCCCCAATGTATTTTGGTAAGATAATGTTATTTATAATCAATGAATTCATTTCCAATCTCTAGGCAGGCAGCCTTGTAATTTGGCTTGAATAATCGGGGTACTTATCCAAACTTACCTTTCTGTGACGTTCTAAAGAAATTTCTATGTGATAAACACTAATTTATTGTGCAAGATAACAGTTGCAATAGCAATCAGATCCTAAATTCCTAACAAGAAAATAATATAGCAATTTGAAGTCAGCTCATAAAGTATTTCCTGCTTATTTATTTATCAATTTCATTAAATGTTACCTCAGCGATCTTTCCCAGTGCAAGTAAGGGATCAACAGCTGTTGATGAAGTAGTGCCAACCTGCAAGTATATGCAAGGTTCTTTTGTAATTATAAAATTCTAATTACAAGAATGGCAACATGTATGATCTCTGACAAAACAGAATCTGAGATTTGCAATATTGGTTCACAATTAGCATGATTAAGAAAAAACTTTTGCCACCAATTTAAACTTCAGGGCCTTTTTCACATTACTTGAATGATATAAAAGTTCATCAAACCTAAGAGTTTACAAACTTTTTTGTTTATTAGCCATCGAAAGGAAACGAAGACTAAAAGGACTTCTTTTTGGTCTCTTACAGTGGCACATAAGAAGAAGGGAATCAATCCAATTGAAATGTCATTTGAAATTGCTTCATAAAGTAAATCTGGTGCAAGAGCATAGTTTGTGGAAGAGTCCGTTTTTAGCAGCCTGCAATTTTCTGGATGAACCCCAGCTATCTGTCATTGAACCAACAATATCATATTAAAAAAATTAGCAAGAAAACAAAAGGCCAAAGTAGATAAGAAAATAGATCATTGCCATCTCACTGAAAAGCTTAAAATGGTTAAACGGTAAGAAATTTATTTGAGTAATCGTCAAACTTTATAATTTCTGATTATGATGAATAATGAAATCTACAAGTTCATATTTAGTAATGTACCTGACAAGCTTTTTGCAAAGACGAATGTGTTTGATCAGATCCATAAACCACAAGCTTTCCCAAGGCATCTTTTCCCACCCTCCTCAAGACCTTGTCTCGAGCAGCTAGCATTACAACTAGTAGAGCTTCACTTGCAGTACCCTGAATCACTCCACCTCCTTGTCCTGCAACATGATTCTGTACGCTTCAGAGAATTGTCCACTGAAATTTATCCTACTACAATTAAAGTAAACCCTTCACCATTCTATGCCCACATTTTACAGCTGAAAACTCCAACTTACACAAATTCACACTCTGAAAGGAAATCATTTTACGCCATTCAAATCTTTTAAATAACTATTTCTACTTTATATCAGTACTTTAGATGCCAAAGCAAGTTTTGAAAAATTAATCACATTTAAAACATGAGCACTGCGATATGAAATCCCTATAATATTACTCAAATTTTCTTGCTGCCGATAATTGTTACAAGCAATGAAAGTTGAAATATTCTTTCATATAACATCAATTATCATCTCAGGAACCTTCATGTCCCAATTAAAATAATCAATTTGGAATTAACATGATTTAGGGAAAGGAAACTAAGATGTCCCAAGAGAGCACTACCATCTTCACAGCTAGTCAGATAAATGGCTTCATGATAACATTTTTCAAACGGCTACTCTAGGTACTATATAAAGCTAAGTAACTTCGAAGAGTACAACAGAATTCCAATAAATAACGGAATGAGTTGGTGTTATTTTATTTTTATTTTTTAAAGCTGCACTTTCTACTGAATTGAATTTCAAAGAATTCATTGACTTACCTGTCGAGAAAAAATATTCAGGTAATTTTAACATTTTACCAAGCCAGTCTAGAACAATCATTTCAAGCTCTGTTGCAGCAGGGGAAGTTATCCAGCTAAAGCCCACCATATTGATACCGGCGCTAAGCATTTCTCCCAAAAATCCAGCAACACTGCTGTTAGAAGGATAATATGCAAAATAATTTGGGCTTTGCCAATGGGTCACTCCTGGCAAAATCTTTGCTTGGACATCTACAGCCACAAACAAACCCCCAACACCCCAATCCCAAAAAAAATAAAAATGTAAGGAGCAGATTCATCTAAAACTCATATAACCGTACGAATATAGCTAGGAATATTTAATTGTATGCATATCAAGCTTTGAACTTTTTTCTTTCTTTCAATTAATAAAGTAACTTCACCGTCAAGAATATTTTGCAATGACCCGGGTCGATTAGGTGCAGATTCTGGAAGTACTTTACGAAGATACCCAGGCTGCATAATCAATCAATATTGTCATTTGCAATCGAAAGAAAAAATCTGCTTAAAAACCTACAAAGAGTACAAATGTGAGAATCAAGAAAGATAAAGATTATAGTTAATTACCTCAACTTGGCTAAGAACTGGAAAATTCTCTATGGTTTTATAATAATCAGCAATAAAATCAACCATTTTATGAGCATACTCTCTAAGTTGCTCTGCATCCATTGGTCTCAGCTCTCCTTCCCTATACATTGCAAAAATATGAATTAGAAATTGAAACAAAGTAAAAAGAGTAAATAACTAAATCCCATTGAAGCTGCAAGTGAGAAACGACGAAATGTAACCGTTTTCATGCCCATATCATATGGTAAAGAGTATCGAGAGACTTACATATTTTGCTGGTAAACGGGAAAAATGACCAAATGATTGGTTTAATTGGACTGTTTGATGGTGCAGGTGGGTATTTTGTTGCTTGCTATTGGTTTTATTAAGTTTGAACAGATTCTACTTGTTGTATTTGTTGGCATATCTGAGAAGAATAAGGATTTATCCCTGTAGGCAATCTTTGGCTGTGCTTGCATGTTCAGATGTTCTCCACTGGTTTAAAAAGTCCGGTCTTTAAGACTTCAAGCTAATACAAAGGCCAAAGGGAAAGGGATAGTCAAGCTATTAGCAATTTCCTGGTTATAAATTGGTCTGGTGTATGGACTATGGTGTGCCCATGTAAAGTGTAGGTTGATGTTTATTTTGATTTTTATTTTCAGTAAACTTAGGTGTTTTAATATCATCTAGTTAGCACGTCGAGACTCAGTTTATTTTCGTAAAATGATTTTTAAAAATATTTTTCATAATTTTTCGGTTACGTGATGTTTAAAAAAATAAGCCAATAGATTTTTCTAATCAAAGAAAAAATAAGTCATTTTAAAAAAAAACGACTTTCCATTTTCAATGGAGAAAGATATTTTTTGGATATTAATTTACTTAATATAAACTTATAAATGCATGACTTTTTAATTTATTAATTACCGATTGCCACTATCCTGGTCACCGTTCACCATCAGTCACCACTGGTCAATAGCGACTTTCATAATTTAAAATTATTTTACATTTTTTCTATTTTCAACAATAAAATTTTTAAAATATGAAATTTCTATTATTATAAATATTTTTACGGTCTTATGAGTTAAAGATTTGAACAATTTTTAATTAATTTTTTGCATTGCAATCAAACAATGAAAAATAAATTATTTAAAAAGTATTTTTAAAGTAAGTATTTTTTAGAAATAAACAGAGAATAAATATTTTATTAAAAATTATTATCTAATAAGCTAGTGGATTGAATTCGTGTTCTTAGCTTTATAGGTACGAGCGTGGAGTCAAAAATCGAAATTAACACAATCAATTCCATTTTAAAAAATGTATAAAAAATTACAGTTGCTTTAACTAAATATTCATATCTTGAAAGCATTGAATAATTATTTCATATTGAATAATTATTTCATAACCAATAATATCAAAATTATGCTCTAAAAAAATAAAATAAAAAATAAAAAACAATAAAAAAATAATTTATTGATTAACCTATTGTCAAACTAACTATTCTCTAAATAATATATATATCACGGTTGCTCTTTCTAAATTAGAAAAAGATAAATGCAATTTTATAATTTTTAATAAAGAAATTATTACATTTATAAAATCTCATAAAATTCTAATAATGGTTGTTATTTGCAGCTAATCACCATCTAAATCCTTTAAATCGAAATTATTTCTATTACAATTTATATTTTTGGTTTTGTTTATTTTCTGAAATTATTTTAATTTTTATATTGATAGTATTATTTAACAAAAGTTTGGCAATTCAAATAAAATTATTTACCAATTTTAAATTTAAAAATATCTATTGAACCAAAATTAAGAACATCAAGAACAACAATGCAACTTTGAAAGGCGGCGAATCAGACCTATAAATCCTCTCAAAATCAAAAAACCCAACGGTTCGCATCAACTAATTGAGAGCTTAATCACAAAAAGGAAAATGGAAGACGATGCAGAGATTTACGACGGCATAAGAGCTCAGTTCCCTCTTACCTTCGGCAAACAATCAAAATCTCAAACACCTCTCGAACAAATCCACAATTCCACTCGCCGGACAACCGTTGATCCACTCAACAAGACCACCCCCGCCGCCGCTGATAAATCCGATAATGCTTTCCCTTCTCTTTCTTCCTCTTCCAAAGCCTGGCTTCACACTGTCCGCACTTCCAAAAAGCCTAACCCTAAAGCAACAGCCGGACCACCTCGCCCACCGCCGGATAATCTTGATGGCGACGACAGTATTGGACCTCCTCGTCCGCCGCCTGGCTTGGCTGATGAGGCTGATGATGATGATAATGAAGTTATGGTAGGGCCGCCCCGTCCACCACTGTTTGATAACGACCACGATGATGGTGTGATGATTGGGCCACCGCGTCCACCACCAGTTGATGATGACGAGGATGATGGTGTGATGATTGGACCGCCGCGTCCGCCAACGGCACCAGATTCAGATTCGGAGGAGGAGGAGGAAGAGGAGAATCGGTATCGGATTCCTATGAGTAATGAGATTGTGCTTAAGGGCCATTCTAAGGTAATTAGTTGACAATAATTTTTACTGATATTTGTAATTTATTGCTTTATATTGTCTGGAAAAATTATTTAATCATTTTCTTTGGTTTAGTATGCTCTAAGATTGTTTGGGTATACTATAAAGTTGTATATTTGAAACTTAATTCAGCTCGCATAAATTCTCAGGTTAGACAAGATGCTCACGGATAATATTTATCAGCTTTTGTTTTGAATTGTATGGGTTAGAGTTTAGTTATTAATATTCATGATGGAAATGACTTTCTTGGTTATCATTTTCAGGTTGTCTCAGCTCTTGCTGTTGATCACTCTGGGTCCAGAGTTCTTTCAGGCAGTTATGACTATACAGTACGCATGTATGATTTTCAAGGGATGAATTCACGGTTGCAATCATTCAGGGAACTTGAACCGTTTGAAGGTCATCAAGTTCGTAATTTGAGTTGGAGCCCAACTGCAGACCGTTTTTTGTGTGTGACTGGTTCTGCCCAAGCTAAGGTGCTTCTACATATCTCTCTCTTTAATATGATTTACTTGGACGTTAGTATGCTTATGGAAGAAACTTACTTTTATTTTCCTTTTGCACTTCAGATATATGACCGTGATGGACTCACTCTGGGTGAATTTGTAAAAGGAGATATGTATATTCGTGATTTAAAGAATACCAAAGGCCACATATCTGGATTGACTTGTGGAGAGTGGCATCCTAAAACTAAGGAAACCATATTAACATCATCAGAGGACGGATCACTGCGTATATGGGATGTAAATGATTTCAAAAGTCAAAAGCAGGTTTGTATGTTTCTGTTCATTCAACTCTGCTATGTGAAAGTGTGATGTGTTTCCCCCGAATGGCCCATGTATTTTCTCATAATCTTAGATTGAAAGAATCCACTCTTTTGTAACGTACACACAGAAAGACAAACACAAAGAGATGGATGTAGCTATGATGTTAAAAGTTTCTGATAAGCATGATTAAGAGAATGCACTTCTGGTTTCTCAAGGTTGGGCCTTGATTGCACAAAAAGTTTCCTGCATTGTTATGTAGAAGTTGCAGGTTCAATAAAGGAAGGAATGTAAGGGCGATGGTGATGTACATGCTGCTCACTTTAGAACTGCAATATTGAGGAAGTCTTCCAGAATGAAATACTTATATGGTTATAGTTGGATATCAACCACGAAATAAAGGATGGGGATTAAGCTGTGTAATCATTATTTATGTAGGTTATCAAACCAAAGCTTTCTAGGCCTGGAAGAATTCCTGTTACAACATGTGCTTGGGATCGTGAAGGAAAATGCATTGCTGGTGGCATTGGAGATGGTTCTATACAGGTTTGTGCTCCCATGTCCTGATAATTCTTTTGACTGTTTACTCTCTAAAGGCTACTGCAGAAAATTGTTCAATTTTTTTTTCTCATAATAGACAGATGTTTGCATTACTCCATCAATTATTTTGATCTACATTTTGCATCAGTTTTTTGATCTTAGTCAACATTTTTCTCATATGTTTTGCTTGCTTTATTATTATTATTATTTTTCATAGATATGGAACCTCAAGCCTGGATGGGGAAGCAGGCCAGATGTGCATGTTGAGAAAGCTCATTCTGATGATATCACAAGTCTTAAATTTTCTAGTGATGGACGAATTCTACTTTCAAGAAGCTTTGATGACTCACTGAAGGTATTGTTGAACAAGTGTCCAGAACTTATTTCAGTTCATTTTCTTCATTGAGTATGTGTTATTTTGTACTTATCTTCCCATGTAAACTACACGTGAGTCAGGTTTGGGATTTGCGACAAATGAAAGATCCTCTCCAGGTTTTTGAGGATCTTCCGAATCACTATGCTCAAACAAATGTGGCATTTAGTCCTGATGAGCAGCTCTTCTTGACTGGAACATCTGTTGAAAGGGAAAGCACAACTGGAGGTTTGTTGTGCTTTTATGATAGGGCGAAACTTGAACTTGTTTCTAGGGTTGGTATTTCTCCCACCTGCAGTGTTGTGCAATGTGCTTGGCACTCCAAACTAAATCAGGTAAGACCATTTGGCATGCTTCTATATTCAAAATGATGTTTTCCAGTAGTTTGTAGTGCAGCACAATGGTGTGTTATAGATTGTCTCACCGTCTGTTTTATGTGCATTTAAGATATTTGTTCACGTATGTTCTTTTTAACTATTCACAAATGAGAAGCATCTGCTGTTCAACTATATTTATTTACTCTGAAGCAAACTTCCACAAAAAGTATGGAGTAAGAAGTCCACTCAAGTTTGACTTGCTTTATTTGTTTGAAGATCTTTGCAACAGCTGGGGATAAAAGCCAAGGTGGAACTCGCATATTGTATGATCCAACACTTAGTGAGAGGGGAGCTCTTGTCTGTGTTGCACGTGCGCCTCGGAAAAAATCTGTGGATGATTTTGAGGCACAACCTGTTATTCACAACCCTCATGCACTACCCTTATTTAGAGATCAGCCCAGCCGCAAGCGTCAGCGAGAAAAGATATTAAAGGATCCTATTAAGTCCCACAAGCCTGAACTTCCAATAACAGGACCAGGTTATGGTGGAAGAGTTGGAGCAAGTAAAGGAAGCTTGTTAACCCAATATCTGCTTAAGGTGATTTTTTTTTTCTTGTGACTTCCTTTGTTTTCTGCTTTTGTTCTTACATTTTTCATGTTGTAAAAATGAAACCCATGGAAGAAGTACTCATGTTGAGTTCCGTTGCAGCAAGGGGGAATGATCAAGGAGACATGGATGGAGGAAGACCCGAGAGAAGCTATATTGAAGTATGCTGACGTTGCAGCAAAAGATCCCAAGTTCATTGCTCCAGCATATGCACAAACCCAGCCTGAACCAGTTTTTGCAAAATCAGATTCTGAGGATGAAGGGAAATAATCTGATTACCATATTGTGTTTCATTCGCTACTCAGCTACTCAGTAATCAATCTCATGGCCTTCTTTTTGATGGTGAGCTGATGTCTTCTATGAGCTCAGATCTTTAGCACCAGTTGAAGGCACTGAAGAAATATGCTAAAGGTATCATCATAGCTTATAATTGGCGACAGTTAAAACCAAAAAATTTCTTGGTTTTCTTCAGAGCTTCGGCCTCAGCAACCTGAAAGTGGCATAACATGGCCAAAATTTACACGAGTGCTGGGTACCTATTTTAATATCATCATGATTTGATGTATTTTAGTCCGCTTTTTTTTTTTTTTTTTATGAGTTGATGTAAATTGCTACCAACTGCACCGGCACTTGAAATAGGCTGTACTCTAATCATATACTCAGAGTCGTAGTTCCATAGAATTAATCAAGGTTTTTGTGCTCCAACCTTGGATGTTCTTGAGCCTGATGTGTTTTTCTATCCTTTCACCTCAATGCTTGTGTAATTTGCCATATGACATAATTATACTGATCATTCTGATAAAATGCTGCTTGTAATGAATAACATTTTCCGAGTGTAGTGTACCATTTTTTTTTTTTTTTTTTTTTTTTTTTTTTTTTTTTTATTTTTTTTTTGTTTTTTTTTTTTTTGTTTTTGTTTTTTTTTTTTTATGTTGATAAGTTCATTGTTCTGAATATTCAGTTTTTTTTTTTTTTTTTTTTTTTTTTTTTTTTTATGTTGATAAGTTCATTATGTTCTGAATATTCAGGTTTATGTTATTCATTACAGACATCAACCTAAGTAGTCTCAATTTTGAGTAAAAGTAATGAGATTAATGAGTTATATTAAGAATTAGACTATATTAGTCCAACATAAATTTAATTAAAGTGTAAAAATCTCAGAAATTTCTGAAATGCCATGCAAACCAATCAAAGGAAAAAAACTTCTCATTTCAAAGATTTCATTCTATGTTTCAATTGGTAAATATAACCGATTTCTTAAATTATATTCAAATTAATACTTATATCCTTATATATTTAAAAAATAACTGATATCTGTTTCACAATTGGGTCTTTCCGTTCACTTTTTACAGTTCATTAATCGTTCGCATTTTTTTTTTTTATGGAATATGCTCATTGTTTTAGAAGAAAAGACTCCCTCTTTGGAATTGAACATAATTTATGAACTTAATTATATTTTATCCCTTTTCAATTTCAGAGCGAGTTAAGCATGATCTGCGAGTTAAACATGATCTTGGTAGCTGAAGTAGGGTCAAAATCCTTGTGTTGAAGAGAGGAAGGTATTGTGTGTGGAACAAACAAACAATAAATCTTTCCCATATTGGCTATAATGCAGAAATAGTAGAGAATTGAAGAGCAGTGAAGAAAATAACTCCTGCCACAAAAATTAATTGTCTATTCAATATACACGTACAACAAGGGAATAAAAGGTCCCTTTGAAAATTGTTCTATTGTGCTATTGGCATTTACAAGTGCTTGAAGTGAGAGGAAAGGCCTTTGATAAGCCAAAAACCGAAATCCCCATAAAAAGAATGGGATCATGATCACTTCAATTTCTCATTTTTCTCCCTTTTTGTCGGGCAATACAACAGGCATATATCATTGGAGTCAGGCAGGCATTCGAAATTATTGCTATATTGCTATGTTACAAATCTTCTTCTTGCAACCTTCAGCTGAATATCGTTTCCTTTCAGTTAACGGCTCCAAAAGCGAACAAAATTACATCATTCGTAACAGGATCAATGAAACATATTAAGAGAACCCATTATTCTAAATCTGCATTACTTTAACTTCTTAATTTGCAGTTTGCAATTCTGAACGATGCATTGAACTTGTAAACGGATTAAGTTAGGAATGCTCAAAGCTTGACAAACGAGAGTCTGACAGAACGGCAAATAGTTGTGTGTCTACAAATAGCTGCAAAACCCATAGTAGCATGCATAAGCAATTAAAATCCTTGTACCAGCCCAAGCGCATACATATAGGCTCATTACATCAATCTTCATGATGTTGTACAAGCATCACTTGTCTGAATACGAAGATCGCGAATGTGGGCAGATTCAAAGAGGAACAGATAATTGATTAATGTATAATAAGTTGGTAAGAAACATGTATAAAAGGAAATGATATTTTACCTTTACAAATGGTCGGTCCCTATTGGGAAAGGAATCAATATAGCTGTCTTTAAGAAGTAAACATACCTGAAAACAAAATTGAAGATGTGTCTGTAAGTATGCAATGCTAGAAATTAGTGGCACTAGTATTTTTTTCCACTGTAAATAAGTTGAAAATAGAAGATCATAGCCCCAGTTTTACTAACCCTGTCACTGTTTGATTGTACATTGGTTATTGTATGAGATCTCAAATCGGAGCAAATTGACTCCAAGTAGCGCCTCATGATGGTCAAAAAATGGGTTGCAGCTTCAGCCTGAGAGACAGTAAATATGAGAAAACAAGATTAGAAGAGATTTTCTGATAATAATGTAAAATGCTGGTCATAGGATCTTACAAGGGGTTTTCTCCCCAACCCAAACTGATAAAGGCGGCCTCCAAATTGGGATGGACTAAGGATTTAGATTTTACCCAACAAATAAAACATTGACCGCATGATTTTTATTACAATGGATTGGCAAATAAAAAAAACCGGCCATTTCCAACCTTTTGAACTGGGCCTAAGTACAATACTTACAATAAAAATCATAACAATTATCATTTTTATCAGATAAAGAAAGAAGGTAGTATAAGTAGCAACAAGAATAAGACATATGGAAAGTCTAATCCAGATTATTAAGCTATTAGCACTGCAAGGCTGCAAGCAGGGATGAAGTTGCACTGCAGGCATACAAAATACATAACATGTGCTTCATGATAGCAATTTTATTGGTTGAGATGCTGGATATATTTCTTTCCTAAGTTTTTATCATGCATGATGTTGGAATAATATGGTTTCTATCATGTAGGGCTGACCACAGTTCAGTTCCAAACTGGAACCGAACCAGTCAAAACTGGCATTAAACCGTGGTCAACTGGTTCTGGTTTCAAACCGAAACCGTTCACTTAAGGTTTGGTTCTGATTCTTCATTTTTTAAAACCGATACCAGTGGTTCCGGTTTGAATCCGTGAAAAACATGTTCTTAAAGAAACTTCCAACTTATTTTTTTGTTTATTATAATTTTTTAAAGTAATTTTACGAATTTTTATTAAATTGATTTAGTTTTTTTCAATAGTAGTATTGATACTTATTATTTATGCAAGCTAAAAACATTTTAAAAATTTTGAAATATATTATTCCCTCCGTCCCATAATGTTTGTCCATGTTTCAGCTTAAAGGTTTGGTTCTGATGTCTTCTATGTTTTTTAGAAAACGCGGATACCAGGTGGTTCCGGTTTGTGAATCCCGCGTGAAAAACGAGATGTTTTCTTAAAGAAACTTCCAAACTTATTTTTTGTTTAGTTAATATTTTTTTTGAAGTAACTTGTTAGAGAATTTTTATTAAGATTGATTTAAGTTTTTTTCAATAGTAGTATTGATACGTTATGTATTTATGGCAAGCTAAAAGAGACATTTTAAAAGAATTTTTGAAAATAGTATTATTCCCTGCCCGTCCCATAATGTTTGTCCATGTTTTCCCATTTTGTTGGATGGTCCCAAAATGTGTTGTCCACCTGAGCTGTCCCTACATTATAAACGATGTTTAAGTTCCCTAAGAATACTTTTTTTTGTCTTTAAAAGGAGGAACAATTTAGAAAGAAGTATGGATATTTTGGGATGATGTGATACTTAAATTAAAATGTGTTTCTTTAACTTGTATGCAAAAGTTAATAGGAGCAAACATTGTAAAAAGGAAGGCGAGTTATCTAATTTCGGTTTAAAAAAACCGGATAAAAACCGTAAAACTGACGGTTCTGAAACCATCTTAGAAAAACTGCTTTAAGGAAGAGGTCGATTCCGGTTTCAACATGTTTTATAATGCGGAGAACCGGGCAATTTTGAGATACCGAATTAAATTGATTTAGTTTTTTTCAATAGTAGTATTGATACTTATTATTTATGCAAGCTAAAAACATTTTAAAAATTTTGAAATATATTATTCCCTCCGTCCCATAATGTTTGTCCATGTTTCCATTTTTGGATGTCCCAAAATGTTTGTCCACCTGACTTCCCTCATTATAAACGATTTTAAATTCTAAGAATAACTTTTTTTGTTTTAAAGGAGGACAATTTTAGAAAAGTATGGATATTTTGGATGATGTGATACTATAATTAATGTGTTTCTTAAACTTTATGCAAAAGTTAATAGGACAAACATTTTAAGGAGCGAGTATCTAATTTCGGTTTAAAACCGGATAAAACCGAAACTGACGGTTCTGAAACCATCTTAGAAACTGCTTAAAAGAGGTTCGATTCCGGTTTCACATGTTTTATAATCGGAACCGGCAATTTTGAAACCGAAACCGAAGGTTCTAAAACCGTGGTCATGCCTACTATCACGGGACAAAACTTTTCATTTGAGACAGCTATAAGTACTACCTGCATTTCATTGCACCGATAAACAGGATGCTTCTTAGCAATCGAACTTTGAAATGATAGTCTAGCATGAAATGGTGCAAGTTCTGAAACCAGCTCTTTATACCGTGGAAGTGCTGGCAAGTGACACATCCTCACCTAGAAATTAGAGGGAAAAAAATGAGTGGAAGGAACAGACAACCGTAAGGACACAAATTCTTCATTTGGAAAAATTCAAGCACTCATCAGTTTCCAAGATATTTTAAGAAAAATCTTTCATAGAATGGTCAGGGCAACAGAAATTTCAAAGATCTACTAAAACATTATAGCCCTTTACTTTAATGACAGATGATAAATTCATGTTTGCACATACACAAGCACAAATCACAAAATAGCTCATGTCAGCAAATTTCAATGTCCATGGACTACAAAAGGAAAAAAATTTGCGAAGAGTTATTCGGTGTTTGCAACAAACTGTAGCATAAAGAGGAGTAAAGAAGAAGTCCAAAAGTTTAACAAACCTGATCCTTGAACACGTCAACATGGATAAGATTAGATGTTTTTATCTTCAAGTCAGCTGGTTTACGTTGTATGCCAACCTGGAAAATAAATTAGGATATATCAATACAATGACAGAGTTATTTAGCAAGGCTCTGAACAAAGACCCTAATTAGCCAAATACAGTTTTCCCCACAAATTCTGTGGTGTGTATTTCTCTTCTATGAAGAACTAGCATTGTTTGCAAATGAACACTTCGTTCAAGATCTTCTATATTCTATCCAAAAAGAAACTAAAAGCAGATTGTGGCCCTCATAAGTTTCCTGGATAATTTTTCAGGTAATTAATTGTCAGTTCCTCGTTTCTCTGGCTGTGTAGCTCAGATTACTTGAGTGAAAGATTCAGAAAAGCCAAACAAGTTATTGACACTCTGTAAAATGATTATGGCTTTGCCATTTAAATTAACGATCATGCAATATTTGTTATAAACGTTTTTCAATTGTCAACACGAAAAACAAACTATGAGATACATGGGAATTTTTGATTTGCAACTATAAAAACTACCAAGGTGATCATGCTCATGGGAGATTGTTGAGAACTATACCTGCCAACTGCCTGCTGGCTGTTGTACCCCACAATGCCTAAGCTTAAAAACTTATACGGTCCTAAAACATCTCCCACATCTTCTAAATTCTCATATTTATTGCATCTATAATTTATTGAATGATGATGAGTTTCTTTGAACCAGGGGAAAAAATGATTTAGATCTCTCACTCTTAAATGATACTGAGATTTAATACTATCTCCAAATTTACCTTTTCCACAACCAATTCAGGTGGACAAAGGAGCAGCAAGGCTTATCCAAAAGTAGTTCTTCTACCAATGATCGACATTCAAGATCATTCCATTCTGGATCTCTCCTCAATGGCGTTGGAAAATTTATGCCCAAAAGTTATGGAAACATGTCTCTGTCAGTCACATCTTTCAGCCAAAAGATTGTAACCTTGGGCTTCCTCCTCGTGATAGACCAGCCTACTTACCAGCCTCTAATATAATTGAAATACAATATGCATAGTATATTTCTATTTTAAATATATATTTTTAATATATTTAATTAATAATTTATTTTTAATACATCTTAATCCTATTAAGTTCTCTAAAATGTGACATCCTCAAGACCTTATTTTCAGGCAGTTAATGTACAAGAAAGTCAAGTTGCCCTAAATTCCAAACTAGTTAGACTCAACTATCTGGATTATTTTCCTCCATTCCATCCAGGATAAGGCTACACATTATCCGGAAACTAGTTTATATGCAAAAAAAAGAGATCAAAATTAAATCTTTAGAATACAAGCCATCCAAAAATAAGGAACCCATTTATTCCAACCAGATCATTTGGTAGAAATATGTACACAAAAAAAGCAGCTTAGAACAGTGGGTGTGATGATATGAGGTTCCAGAATAGCACCTAATCAGTCATATGATGTCTTTACCATAACTTGATTTTTCTACAAAGCTACCATCAAATTGGAGTAGAAAAAGAATTTACTCAGTTGACAAAGTCATAACTCCCTTTTCTAAGTTTTTGAACTCTTTTTCTAATAGATATTTCTGAATCACCCTTCTGAAGATGTAAACAAAGTCCCTCAGATGTATCCAAGTGATGCCAGACTGAAGTCTGGTCAACATCAGAATGCACAACCACCATCTGATGCAATATTCCAAATCTTTAGGTTTGGCCAAGGTTTAAAACTTAACCTTTTCCCTCTTCAGCTTCAATCTTATGACCACAGAAATGACAAGGACTGGAGAGTCCTAATTTTTGGAGATAAATTTAATAACGAAGCATACTGCAAATAAAATAAAATTTAATAAAGAAGCATAGTGCAAACAAAATAAACCATTCCGCAAACAGAAACAATTATCGCAATTGCATGACATCTTTTAGTAAAAGGGTAAGTAAGCGAAACTTACAATAAAGGGAACCGGAGCATCAAGAAAATCAAACATCCCCCCAGGTAGAATCTGCAGCAGATAAGGAAAACTTAGCTGAATGGTAACCATAACAATTTGACAAATACCTAATAATGTTTTGAGTATAAATTTCAATATTTTTCTGCACCAAAAGCAATTAAATCAAATGTCATAGACCAATATCTACTTTGACCAAAACCAATAACCACTCTCTTACATCTCAAAGGATGTCATATCCAGAGACCACCAGTTATCCCATCTAATACTTCTCATAGAATTTTAAAAAGTATTTTTTTTTTCTAGAATTTATGGGTATAATGTACAACAAAGGAGAAGGTAGGATGATAATTGCATGTAATATTGACCAAAAAAAAAAAAAAAGAAAAGAAAAGCCAAATGCTATATTATTTTGGCTTATGGGCCAAACAGCCATAAAATCCCTTCAGAGTTTTACCCTTAACATAGGCGAGGCAGAGGAAAAAATTTAAAGAGAAAGACATCAGTAATCAGTGTTTATATGGACATATATTAGTGCAACTAGCTCTTTTATTATAACAATGTATTTGAAAACCACATCTTCTGCTTATTAGTGATGAAATGAACAAGTAACAGTGCCAATAGGAGCAACAAATTTGTATTTTGATTATGCACCCTCTCTTGTGTATTTCAATGTTACTAAAGGTTGAATAAGCAGTTGACCCTTCTAAAACTGTTACTCCACAATGTAAAGTGACAATACTTGAAGTAGAAGGATGTAAGAGATCTGATGGCTAACATCAAATGTGTAGGTAAATCTATGATGTTCTACTCACTCCAAACAGAAACCAGATGGCATAACCACTATTTAACTTACTGGGAGAAATAAACTCTGCCATTGAAATGGACGAATCATGGGAACAAGAGATAAAACTATGGCAGATAGAACACCCTGCATTAGTTGAAACTCAAAGTCAGAGCCAAAAGCCAGTTCTAGCATAACTAGAATTGTCAAAAGCTGCAAATATTGATAAACCAAAATAAATCCAGTCGTCAACAAACTACTGATCTATCCGGCATAGATATTTCTGATAACGGAAACTCACCAGGTTTGGACATACTACAACCACCTGTTTTTCTAATAATACTCCAGAAACTAGTGTCAAAACCTGAAGAAGAACTGTGTGTCAGACTTCAAAAACCTGCTTAAGTTCCTCATGAGCCACATTGTATCTCAACAAAATGGTAAAATAAGATTTATGATGAATCAACCAAGCATTCAGAACTGGGTTAAAAGAAGGGAAATGTGAATTTCATTGAACTATATACAAAAACAGCCAGAACTCCATAGCATAGGTAAGCACCCGTGGAAAATTTACAAACATCCTACAATTCTATAAAGTTGGATACACACACACACACACACACACACAAATATATATATATCAAAGCCATCCATGTCACATAGACAGTTGTAACTAAATCTTTCTTGAGTCCTGATATATTTCAAAATATGGAAACTTCTGCTTTAATTGTTTTTTTCGCTGAAATAACATTTCAGCTGCAGTAAAGGGTTATAATTTTTGTCTTTCCATAATTTTCGGGCGTTTTATGTGTATTTCTTTTGCTATTGTTTATTTTAGCAAATGTCACATCTATCACCAATATGGTAGACCCAGCTCAAGTACACTAAACGGTAACCCATAACTCTGGACCAGCCATGTGGATCCATTTTCTCCATTCCACTATGATAGGGACACATTAGATCAAAAGCTGCTAAATCTTGAAGAAAGGTATGACCACGGTAGACTTATCAACCAATTAAGATCCTATTGACATCAGGTCCTCAAACCTGCAACGCTCGCTTCATGACCAAGAATCCACTAATGCTCTGGCCCATGCCCATTACTAACGATATATAGCACTAGAGAAACTGATTGCAACAGCAGCAATTAATTTAAAAAGAAATTTCAAGCACTGAAGCAAACAGATGAAAAAATACCAATGTACTGAACAATGTTGAATTCAATCCAATGCAACTTTGCATGACAAGGACATTACACTTTCAAGTGACAGAAATCGACATAGTGTTGCAGTTGTCCATATTGATAGTGCAAGAGCTTCCTCAGCAGCAGCTAACTTTGCATTGACCTTTTCCCAACATTAGAAGTAAGCAAATTCATTCATCAAGAATTGTAGCTGAAGAATGGTCGGTAAGAGAAAGAAATACCTCAGCAGCTCCAAATGAATCCAAATAATTTTCAGCAAAGCCCAGGTCAGAAGCTGAATGCCGCCTATACACAATAGCTTGCAAGTGTTCAAGAGGCTGAAATATTATTTCACTTCCTCGTTGGGGTAGAGACTTTGAATGATAGCCGCAAACTATCTGCAGCAAATCATTTTTGTTTTCCTATCCAAGAGTTCACACCCAAAAGGAAAAACATGATTCAATGGAGTAATATATCACATATGTGAAATAATAATGTACAAAAGGGAGGAAATAAAACTAACCCTAGCCCATTCCATTATTAAGTCATCATCAAAATCTTTTTCACTATTTGCAAAAGGCTCATCGTCATCATCATAACATACCATGCTTCTAACTGGACTGCCAAAAGATAATGATATATTACTGAAATTATACCAGAGTAGTGCACCATCTGGTACAGAAGATGACAGCTATCAACTTAAGTTACGCTAAATTGAAATAAAAGCAGGAGGATTTAGACAGATATTATAAATATTACATTATCCAAACAAAAATTGCAAAGATATTTAACCTAAGAAAAATCAAGAAATAATGCAGCAATAATTTTTAGTCTGTCATATGTAGAATACAGCAACAAAGTAGATATAATAATTGTAAATTAACTACCTGAATAAGGTATCAACACTTCCTGGACGCTCAAATAATTGTGCCCTCGAGATACTAAATAATGCATTCTCAGGAGAGGCTTGACCATTTTCATAGCTCCCATCCAGTCTTTCCGGAGCATCAAAATGAGTTTCTGATGACTCAGAAGCACAATCATCAAAATCTTGTGCATTCTTCTTACTATCCTTTTCTACTTCCCTTGCTTGACTTAAATCTGAAGCCTCACTAGCAGAACCACTTCCAGGAGAATGAGATTCCCATTTCTTTGGTGATGAGCTATGGACCTCATCATCTGATATAATTCCAGCAGCAGCAGCAGTAATGGCCACTGCACTGTCAACAGGTATTGCAGAAGCTGTCCAATCAAAAGCAAACCCCCCATCAGGGTAATAAGCATTCATATTCATTTGATCATGTTCTTTGGTTGCTGAAGTGACACCACTCAGTGACACTTCACTGACAAACTGTGTTATACGATTCAAACGCTCCTGTGCAATGATACTGCATTCAAGAAAGTACATGCAGTAAATCATATTGAATCAATTCTAATAAACTTATCGTATCCCACAAAAGAGAAACTATTGCTTCTTAAAAGTCAAATGAAATTAATTAACCTGTTCAACATCTCATAGTGTAGCTCAAAAAAAGGAACTCGGGTTAGCACACAGTAGCAACGAGGTGCAGAAACTAAATAGCGGCCGCAACGTCCAGATGGTTGCCCAGATGACTGTGGGAGGGGTGACATGGTGCCTAAAATACCAGGTGGCCTCTGAACAATTTCTGTTACATGTAAGCAAACCCCATAAAGTGTATCATTATCTGCAACCTGATCAAGGGAACAAAAAATATATTAAGCATCCGCCAATTTGTATCACAAACCTTCTCAAATCACTTTAAATTTGCTAGTCAAATGGATTTTTTTTTTTTTTTTTTTTTTTTTTTTTTTTTTTGCAGCACAGTAGCCAACGAGGTGCAGGAAAACTAATAGGCGGCCGGCAACGTCCAGGATGGTTGCCCAGATGACCCTGTGGGAGGGGTGACATGGTGCCTAAAATAACCGCAGGTTGGCGCCTCTGACAATTTTCTGTTTTACATGTAAGCAACCCCCATAAAGTGTATCATTTTCTGCAAGCGCTGAATGCAGGGGAAACAAAAAATAATATTAGCATGGCCGCCAATTTGTAATCACAAACCTTCCTCGAAGATCAACTTGTAAAATGTTGCTAGTGCAAATGGATTTTTTTTTTTTTTTTTTTTTTTTTTTTTTTTTTTTTTTTTTTTTTTTTTTTTTTTTTTTTTTTGAAGCAGATACACTGAAAAAGGTTTGATCAAATTATTGCAAAGAGAACCACAGTTTAGTCAAGCATCAAAAAATAGATTTAGTAAATATCATGATGACAAAATCCAGATGTAAACCAGAAGTCTGAAAATTTAACCAAAACAAAATTAGCTGCAAGAGTTACTGCAACGGAAATTCAGATTGGAATCACTCTACAAAAACAAACATAGGGGTAAAATATAAATGATATGAAGAAATAACATTTACCTTGAGAGAGAATATGAATGCTAAATCATCTCGGCCCATATGCTCCTGCAGGAAAGAAAAACAGTACTGAAAAGTAACACTTGAAGCCAATTAAGATTAGAGTAAAAAAAAGCATCATTGCTCATAATGCACGAGGGCATCAGGGTTACTCAGCTTCTGAGGTGATCAAAGCTAAAAAACTTTGCTAATGCTAATAGAAATAAAGTACTCCCTCCGTCCCATTTTGTTTGCTTGTTATTCCGTTTTTGGATGTCCCAAAATGTTTGTAAGGTTTCTAAATTTAGACATGTAAATTCTAATTTAGACATGTAACAAATTATTTTTTCCATAAAACCTTTATAGGTTCATTGATTGAAGGCTTTTTAGTATCTTAATGAGTTATTAAGCGATAAAAAGTACTCCCTCCGTCCCATTTTGTTTGCTTGTTATTCCGTTTTTGGATGTCCCAAAATGTTTGTAAGGTTTCTAAATTTAGACATGTAAAAAATTATTTTTTTCCATAATAACCTTTATAATGTTCATTGAATGAAGGACTTTTAGTATCTTAATGAGTTATTAAGGATAAAGAAGGGCAAAATAACTTTTGTTAACTAAATTCTTAATATGCGTGTTTTGTCAAACCATGCAAACAAAATAGACGGAGGGAGTACTAATTAATTTTGACAAAGAACATATTTATTCTTGAAGCAAAGAAATAGACATATTATATGACTTCTGAATCCCTTCGGATTCTCTCATGCTTTTATTTGCTCATTAGGCATAGATTACAAATGTGGATAACACTTAAAAACAATGCACTCTTCCTGAAAAAGAATAAGTAATGCTGAGAGCATAGAGGATCATTAGGAATCATAAAGCCATACACAGGAGTTACTCATATCATAGGACACACGAAAGTGAGACATTGCTTTGCATACCTGTCCATAAATAAGTTCATTTAGCTCACTTAATGATGGAGTCCTCTCCAATAACCGTGTCTGTACAATGACAATTCACAAATGAGAAAGTGAATGGTGATTAGCACTAGAACATAAACAAAGTACATTAACAAGTGAAATATAGTCGAGAAATCAACATGTATCTGAAAACCATAATTTCTTTTAAACCAACTAGACATTAATCTCAAACTTGTTCGAATCAACTATATGGATCCATTTCCTATATTGCTGTTTGTTTAGAGCTACATCACCATAAAGATCTAGAGCTGTTAAATCCTTCTCAATATTTGCCCCTGCATTGTTCTATGCATACACCTTGATTTTATTATTTCCAACAAATTCAACATGTTCATTTTTTATGTGTTGTTACGTTTATTGGTCAATGATGCATATGTCTAAACCATCTCTCAATTTCTCTTAATTTTCCTATAATAGCTGGCACTTCTACCTACTGAAATGCATTCATTTCCCTTCCAATCCATTCTTCCATTTTAGTACATACATTTGAGCATTCTCATTTTACTCATGCTAATCCTCTGAAAATGATTTTTTGCTATGCCCATACATTATAGTTAATTGAAACATAGACTTATAAAACTTTCCCCGCTACTTAGCTCTAACATTTTGCAATCACATAGGTCTCCTATTGTTGCACTTTTCTAATTTGTCCATCTTGCTTTAGTCCTACAATTGACATTCTCTTCATTTCCCTAATCTCTTTGTATAATAAATAAAAGTTATTTGAAGTGAGTGATTTGTGGGACCTCTATGCTGCCCAACTGGCCTCGCTTCAATCAACTCTAAATTGCAGCTCGAGTACTTTGTTTTAGGTCTACTTAACTTGAAACCCTTGGACTCTAGAATACTCCATCTTTAACTTCTTGTTAACACCAAGTTGGGTTTCATCTATTTAAACTATACCAAGGGACGGGGGGGTGAGCATTCGGTTAACCAAACTGAATTAGCTCAGTTTCGTTTTATCCGCATATATTTTTATGGTAACCAAATCCAAGACGAAATGGTACAAAAACCAATCCAAACTGAATTGAATCAGTTTCGTTCGATTAGGATACAGTTATCCAAAATTAGCAATTTGGGGCTTAAAAATAAATAGGTTAATTATATATGGTAACCGAACCAAAAACAAAAACATTATGGTTTTGTGTATCCAAACTAATTGGTAAAGAAATTTCTAAAATAACTACCCGAATCCAACCAAAATGACTCAATTTGGTTAGTTTTCGATTAGAAACCTAGTATTGCTCACCCCTACCAAGGGATCATATCCTCTTGGATATGCTTTGCCAAGTTAACCATCTCAAAACCTAAACTTGATCTAATCCAACAGCAGTTGGAAATTTTTTGTATCATCTTCAACAATCTAAACAATAGAAACTAACCCTTTGGCACCCTTATGTATTTAATAGTATAAACATAATTGTAATAGATACACTTTATACAATTCTTTGAAAAATAAAATATAGTCCATATGACGAAAAAGAAAATGCCTCTTCAACCTTGCAGGACTTTATGATGGGAACAAATGGTGTGCTAAGATAAAAAATATATGGAACACTCTATAAAGCCTCACTGCCCCAGTATATTCTTTTTTAAACCATAAATAGTCTAAGCAACATGTTTACCACCGATATTATTTTTCCAGCTCAATGTTACGAATTTGTTATGTGTATCTATGTGCACACCCACACCATTCATTCAGTTCGTATTTATCAAATCTTAGTTTTGTTAAAGATGGCTGCGTAACAACATGGTCTAGGTTCTCATATTGCTTAAGAGTGGACCATAATATCATGGTATACATAAACAAAGCTAAAAGTTCGTTTTGAATATGTATCACTTGTCTGAATATAAAGAGAAAGAAGGAACATGAAAAAAATAGAAAAAAACAATGAAGTAAACATGAGGCAATCATGCAAATCAGCAATTATTCATGTAGCACATAAATACAAACAGACTAAACCTAGAGACCACAAGGAAAAGATCAGTAACATCAAACCTTAACACCTTCAGGAAAGCAGAAAGAACCTAAATCCTTTTGGCGCATAGGTAATCTCTTCCCAGGAGGATATTTGAAAAGTATCTGATAAAGAGAAAACAATTATATAGTCAGCTACTACAGAAAGAGGACAAGAGTTTAGAGCTTTGTTAAACTAGTTGTCACTTAACCTGGGGTTCCATTGAAGGAAATGTAGGCCCCCGAAATTGATGCAACATTTTATATGCTATTACATCAGATTTTGCTGCCTCAAACTCCCATTTCTTTCTTCTTGCAAATACATCCTCTACAGCCTCAAGATTGGCATTAGGATGAAGCCCAACAATAACAAAGTGTTCAAATAGTGAGGTGGGCTCCTGAAATTTCGTATTGTCCTACACCAACAACTACATTATTTTATAGCATAGACATATAAAAATCATTATATAGCTTGTTTTGAAAAATAAAACGTAGAAGTATGCGGCGGGGGGGAGGGGGGAGAAGCAGTAGAGTAAACTTCAAATTTCAGAACTAGAAAAGGATATTGGTAGATCAATGATTACAAATTGCAAAGATCACCTTTACAGATAGCAAAACCACATCCCTCCAATCATCTTTGTTTGCCATAATTCCTTAATAGTGGAATTCCAAGAATCAAGTCAATCAAATTACAATACTGAGAAAAATAAATGGAGGAAGAATAAAGTCTATGATCTTTATATCAACCATCATAGGACTCCATCAGGACAGTGAAAAAGGGACTGAGGGATTGATGAGATGAAGGGAGACATTTTTACCAGTTAAAACAATGCTTTACATAAAAATTGACATTGGATTTTTTAACTTAATGCAGCCTAAATTGACATTGCATCGTCAAAATACTTAATGCAGACTAGGTCACGCCACCCTGACAGAGTTTGGTTTGGCTGGAAAGCATAGATGGAGCTAAACAAATAATTCATGAAATATACAAGAATAAAGGCTTTATTTTTATTATTTTTTTTTTCCAGTTCAGTGGCAACATGGCACCAAGGGGGCAGCTTTCACAAAACCTGAAGTGTTAAAGGGTGAGAAAAGCCACCATTATATGAGCCAATTGAGCCCTATTATGTTAGTCAAATATGAACTTGTTACATCAAGACATACATAAAAGAGTTTAACAAGGAGCGATGCATATCCCAGTGTACTAAGAAATTGTTTTGCATTAGACTTGCCCACTTTTAATTAAAATTTTGAACAATGCTTCACTAAATAACAGCTCAAAGAGCAATACAAGCAAACTCCACTCTCCAATCCAATCAAAGGCAGACCATCCAGAATGAATGGGGGCATTCACGGAAAAGGGAAATAATTCCAATTTAGCCTAAGAATTCAAACTTGGTGAACAAGTTTGGAAGTAAACCCACTACCATCTAAGTTAATCCTTGGGGTTATACAAGAACAAAACTTTGAAGACATATAATATTCTAAAGAATAAGATGATATAGGTATGCCTCTAAGTCAGAGAGCATATAATTGAACTTCTATGTTGCATTGACCAAAGAAGATGAAAAAAGAGAACACCATATTTATAATTTCATAACAAGTTAAGAAGTGAATGTTTTGGCTCTAAGACGAGCAACATTGCTATTTTTCTATATTGTAATGCAGAATACTATAAAACCACAACAAAGGGGCAAATGGGTTTCTTTTGCTCTTATATTGTAGAAGATGATGATTAAACAAGGAAGCAAGTTGTTGTTACTATATAGCTGCCAAGTTACAAAAACAAGCCGGACACCATTGCAATTGCAGCTATAGTGGAAGTGAATTTTACATTAAACTGGTAAATTGCATCAAACTTGCAATAATTTGACTAGTATGCTAGAAAAATACTGGTTTCAATGAATTCTGAATTTTTACATCAAAATATTATATGCCTTTAAAGTTTAGACATTAGTAAAACTTAAACAAGCAAATAAAAAAATAAAAAATAAAAAAAAAGGAAATGCAACCAATGGTATCGTACCACATTATAGAACAATTTTTGCCAATATGGGAGATTAAAGCATGCCGGTCATTATAACTATAGAAGTCATTAAAGGACTTTTATGGCTATTAGACAACAGTAACAACCAGGATGGTTGTGATTTGAGAGAATAATGCTAATCTAAAAAGTAAAAACTATTATGCAAAATTCTTTTTTAAAACCAGGAATAGAAGACAATAGAGATGTGTAGCATCAAGCACGACGGACAACAAGGATCTATAGATCTGTTGCATCAAGAAATCTGGGGATAAAAATTAATTTAGGCAATAAAGAAAAGAAAAAGGTGCATATGATGATTGTGTTTCTGACTATGATGATTGTGTTTTTGACACCAAAGGCATGGAACTAATTTTTTATTGTAGGTTCCTATTTTTAAAAACTCAACATTCTACTTTAATCTCCCTAAAATTTATATAAGTTGTGCCGATCTCCAAACCTCATCCCAAAGGATAAGTAGCTGTAATTTCAATCATAAGTGATGGAGATCATGCATAGATAAGGAGAGGAATCATCTTAAGATAAAATATTGGGGGTTATCTAATAATTTAATGGAAGAATGCAACTTGATGCACCAGACAAAAAATAACATGATGAAAAAAAGTTGAAATCACTTCAGCATGCAGTTTGCAAATATTTTTAGATCTCTAAGTTTGTCAATTTTGATTCTAGAATTGAAAAGCAGTTCAGAGTTAATTAAACTGGGTGTAAAATTTTCGACAATTAGAATCTTGAAATAGTAAGAATGTCAAAAATAAGCACTAAACGTGCAAGCTCACTCAACTCGAAGGGATGAACATCCTCTGCCTGAGCCATACTTACATACTATAAACTGCAACACAGCTGGTTTTGAGCCTCAATATAGAAGAGTAGTTAAAAGGATAGTTGATGTCTGACCTAGAACTAGTCACTTTGCATGAATAAGAAAACAAAAAAGAGTTAACACAACTACTTTAATCTTAAGGATGAGCTAGTACAATGGGTTGCCATGAAGAAATAACCAGGAATTCTTCCAAGATGACACATAGATGTTTCCAATTCAAAGCAAAAAATGCAATACTGATCTATTTCAACGTCTAATACACTAAATGTGCTTTTAAGTTTTTGATTAGAAATACTTAAACTGCTTTGATAAAAAAACATAAATAAAGTTTTAAGCTGAAAAATAGAACCAAGTCAAAAAAAAAAAAAACAAGGATAGAGTACCATAGTTTTGGAATGAAGCTGATACCACTGGCGTTTCTGATTTGCCAAGACCTCAGGATTGAAACTGTAATCTTGTCCTCTCGAATTACCACCCCATCGCCATGCCTTTTGCATCTGAGTTTTCAATTTCTGAAAACTACTGCTACGATGATGCCCCAGGGACAAAACTTCACTTTGACACCGCCTATGCACTGGGGAGGGTGGCTGAACACTCAGATTGCGTGAGAAACCATTGTGCGCATCATCACCCATTTTAAATGGCTCCTTAGATATTTTCTCTAACACAGCATGCGGAGATATTGGCCGGTCTACTTCTGACCGATCCTCTTGTGATGCAGCATCTTCCTTTGTTTGCATCTTCTTAAGCACTTATCTCATCTTGTACATTTCAGCCCTTTTAAGCTATTAAATCCTACCCTCCATTAATTCAAACAACAAAAGCCCCAACCCAGAATCACAAATTCACATCATGCACATAGTCCACAAAGATATTATCACTTTAATTCAAATATCCAAACTCCAACGTACACAACAGCAGATATGAAATGGGTTCTCTCTTGACCGTTGTTGATCCTCAAATCATAATGGAGCCTTTAAATTTTAAATTACTTGCACATTCAGAATATTTATATCACTACAAAAATAATCACAAAAACTTCAAAATCTGAATGTCATATTATGAACACCTGCTTGCAAAAAAATAAAAAATAATTTAAAGGGTCAAAGCAGACGCATTAATTCAGAAAATAAAGTCCAAAATCAGGAATTTAAAACAACCCAATAGCTATATCTACAATTGATAATGTGAAATTATAACCGAAATGGAGATGATTGTCATAATTTCCAATTAAAAAAATAAATGCTAATTTGACAAGTAATTATTAAAATTTTGCCAATACTGTTCATACCTTGTTCTTCTCTCTCTGGCTTTTCAGGTTTCCAGGTTATTGTATCTGTACCGCAGAGAGAGATACCAAATATAGACGAGAAGAGGAAGTTACAAATAAAGGAAGGAGATGTTGTGTTTAAGCGAACTATGCTTTATAACAGAGGAGAAAAGGAAAAGACAACTCAGGTTTCATTTCCGCTTCTTCAAAATTATATTGACCCCCCCAAAAAAATACAGAAAATAAAAAAATGCCCTAATTTGAAAATTAGTTAATCATTTAATATCACAAAAGATATTATATTAGTACTTTGTTCCTTAAATAACATTTAACTGATATATTAATTAGGGTTGAAAACTATATAAGAGCAATCATTATTATATTTAAAAAAAAAACTATTGCATTAAATGTATATTACATAACAATATTGATTTTTTTTTGTTTTTTAAATTAATATTGTTATGTAAAAGTTTAAACAGAAATGAACTATTAAATATTAGATAATTTTTAATCTTTTATATAAGAAAATAAACATTTAAGCACTAAATTATGAGTTATTAATCTAATAATAGTTTACCAAATCTTATAAACTAATCTATGTATTTGCCAAATAAAAGAGATTTAATTATAAGTATAATCATACTTAAGGGATTAAAGAGTAATTTTAATAATTATTTAATAATTATTTACGCTTGAATAATTTAATGAATATCTCTAAATTTAAATCTCAATGCAGCCTAGTTTATTAATTTTTTCTTTCAAAAAAAATTTAATTTAATAATTCTGTTTTCAACAAGGAAAAGGTCATTCATATATTAATTTTTGTATGTAAAGTTTATACTAAATTATTAGTTTGTGTAATATTTTATTTCTAGAAATATAACTTCCACTAACGAGAAAGTGGTTTTGACTTTGAAGTTCAATGCGTCGCGTGCATGAAAAGACCGAATTTCCACCTCAAAATAAACCTGTAGGCTCCACTTCCTTGCAATTTGCTGCGCTGTTGTTAGTGTGTAGATCTTCCTTAAATCTGAACCGTTAGATTCGAATGTAATATCAGAAAGGCGGAATACTTCACTTTCGTCCTTGAAAGCGTTTCTTGCACGCGTTAGGCATGTGTCAAATAATCTAATGTCATTAAGATTTGAATCAATTGAATTACTCCAATTTATTACTTTATAGTAATTGTTTTGGTATTTGTGATTAATAGTACTTTCAATTAATTTTTTTATTATTTAGATAGAAAATGAATATTTTTTTTTATTTGTGATTGATATATTTTTTTTATTAATAATATTTTTAATTGATTTATTAATAGTATTATCTTCCAATCAATTTATACATGGAGTTATAAAATAATTAAAACTATTTGAGTTCGATTTGATAAAATCTCAATTAATATTAATTTATTAATAAAAATAAAAAGTACAAATATAGATTAAATTAAATTTCTTTTTGTGAACAATATTTATTATTTGCATACTCAACTCAAAAGTTTGTACAATGATTCAAATTTATAATATATATTAAAATTTAAAAATTTACTATAAATACAAGTTAATTAAATATAAAATCAATTTCAAACATATTATTATTAATATTTGAGATAAAATATTAATATGAAATAAAAAATATATATTAACAAAGTTTATAATTCTAATCAGTTACATATGCTTATAAAAAAATTCAAATTCACTTGAAAATTGATCAAAATATTGAGTTTTATATTAAATCTGCAGTCAATTCGAACTCAAATTATATTTAATTAAACAATTTTAATTGATATGTTCTTTCAATTGGCTCGACTCAATTTAGTTATACATGCTTCTTTATATACAAAGAAAATAATTTTTCTTTCCAAATGGAGTAAAGTTATATTGATTTAGTAATTTTAGGAATAAATATATTACGCTATCTTATGCATTATATATTATTTAAATCAATTATATAAACATAATATATTAAAATAATATAAGAGAAAAATAAAAATATTTTTTTGTTCACTTATTTATTGAATTGACAAACACGTAGCATGAGAATAAAATAGACGAACAATTATTAGTATTTAGTCTATTGAAAAAGGGCGTGTTTTGAACGCGCACAGGAGCAATAGAACAGTGAATTTACAGCAGAAGCACGATTCGCGCGGAACCGTCCGAAGTTCGCACATGCTTATTTCTCGATAACCGAAAATTCATTTTCTAGTTTTTAGTAATTTCGGATATTTTGACTTTTGGTGATGGTAACTTTTGGATGAAGATTCTTAACCTTTTTTTTTTTCTTTTAAATGTATTTTGCAAAAAAGTGTTTTTTTTTTTAGTAAAACCAAATTTAACGATAATAAAATATAGTTAATAAATTTTGTATATATATTTTCTAATTATATATATATATATATAATTAACCAAATTTAACGATAAATAAATTAATAGTTAATAAACTTTTGTATATATATTTTTCTAATCTATATATATATATATAATTAGTAATTAGAAAATATATAAAATAGATTTCATATGAAAATTAAAATATTGAATTTTCATTTTTTTAAATGTCTTAAAGTTTCGACTTTAAGAATATAATTATTTTTAGAAACTAACTAATTATATTTATGAGTGTACTCTACCAGAATTTTGAATTAGTTATTTTCATGGGTTATAATTCATAATAATTAAAGTAGAAGTACCAAATTATCATTTCTAAAAAAGAAATAGGCATGATTATGAAAATGGCATAGAAGGTTTAAAATTTATGTTAAATATTTATTTCACATGTGATTTTAGTTAAAGCTATTTTAAAATTGTTGGCCTAATTGCATATTATTGATTAATTTTTTAAACTAATTTGCTTGTTTTTTTCATCGAGATCCAAACTAATTCTCCATGTTATGATTTTGAGGGCAATTATGGTATTATTTGTCTTGAAATTCATTGATAAAATTAAACTTAAATATTTTAAGTTTATATATATTTCTTTTTCGTTTGAGCAAAGTCAATAAAACTCTTTTAAATAGTTGCACTTCACATTTTGAATTTCTAATCAAATTATTATTATTATTATTATTATAAAAAATCACATATATATATATATATATATATATTATTAGCTCTTATATCTACTAAGACTCAGATATATATATATATATACACTTAATATAGGGATGAGCATACAGTTTAACTAAATTGAATAGATTTTATACCGACCAAAACTGCATGGAATTATGTGAATAATGAGTTTGGTTCCAAATCAATTTTGGATTTTCTTGGATTATTACGAATTGGATAATATTTTTTAGGCGTAAAATCAATTCAATTAGCTATGCAACTGCTTGAATCGAAATCGAAAACCGTTTGGTTGTAACTATTCAAATCGAATGATAAAAATTTCTCATTGAATTCAATCAATTATTTTATCCGGACCGAATACTGCTTATCCCTAACTAAAGATACCAACTTTGTTTTTTTTTTTTTTTTTTTTTTGTTATTTTGTTTTTTTTTTTTTTTTTTTTTTTTTTTTTTTCCCTCGTCAAGGATAAAGCTTGCAATGTTAGTGGGCCAATCAAGAATCTTTATAGGTAAACATGCATGCATCCAATCTAATAGAAGTGGCATCCAAAGGATTATATATATTAAAATTTATTTGTCAATTATTATCCTTATACACCTTGTTTTTAAAACCAATATCTAACATACTTACTAGTCTTTTTCTTTTTAATTAAAAAAAAAAAATAGAACTTATTCTTGAAAAGCATATTTGGGATTGGAAAGTGGGGAAGGGGGTGAAGGGTTTGTTGCCAAAAGGGACAAACATATATGCATGCAAAATATCTTTTTTAGACAATTAGTAGTCATCACTTGACAATTCAATACCTAAAAGTTTGTTCTTTTCTTTTTTTTTCTTTTTTTTTTCTTTTTTTTTTTTTTAATTTAAGCAAATAGAAATTGCACCTCTCATGAGAAGGAAGCATCAAATAAAACCTACTGACTTTGTGCTTTAAATATGAACAAAAATTAGAAATATAGATTAAATCTCAAATTGGATATGGACATAAATCAAAATATATTGAATTAAGTCAAATTTGAAAAACATATTTTGATTAGATTTTTTTTTTTATAGACTCACTCCTTAATGTTTAAAGAAACTCCATACCTAGAACTCGAATTCAAAACTTTTGGTTAAGAGATAAGAGATTTATGTCATTCTATCTCACCCATCGGAGGTTATGTTGATTACATTTTCTATAAATACATTTAAATATCTTTAAGAATTAACTGGATATGCCTAAAATATGCCAATTATAAGTTGGTCTACCACAAAAATGAAATTGAAACAACAATAACCCATAAGGTGGTTGGTAGGTAGGTATGTATAAAATACATGAGACAGGGCTCTGAACTACCAAATCATTTAGTTATGTGATTTTGGTATGGCCGTATGGGTCATCTCTTTGCTGCCTACTATACCATCATTATTACTAATTAGGTATATACTAGATTATCTAGTTATGGACCACTTGGAATTTTTGTAATAATTGATTTTAGGACAACAGAAAGAAAGCTGAACAACTTGATCATATAATAACTAATCATGTAACCACATGTACTCTAATTTAATTATTTTATTTAATAACTTATTGCATTAAATTAATTTTTTATGACTAAGAACTCTAAATTTAAAATAATAGTAATAAATTAGTTCTATAAATTATCATAGGACTTGGAATAGGAAAACATATTCAACAGAAATAATCACTATGGAACAAACTCGAAACGTTGAATGGCCTTGTTTTTATAAGAACTCTGAGGGCCCATTGTACTCCTAGCCATGGGCCCATGGCAAACAAAAATCAAGTCTTTCCTTTCTTTTCACGATGTTTACCTCGGCCCAGCCCAATCTCAATCTCATCTATGCATGCACGCCCACCTATATATATATATATATAACAATAAAATAATTATTAAAAATCCACTTTATAATCATTTACGCTAATAGCACTAAGGATTTATTTCCTCCCTCCCATACATAGGCTTGATTTCGTTTTTTATATGTTCTATATTATTATCCTAGTTCGTTATGTAGAAATGACAATTTACTTAATTTTCTATTTTATTCATATTTAATATGTACATACTAATACACATAGTGATAAGTTATTTCAATCGTGGCCTAAAAGCTAGAAATAACTCCGTCGAGCTATAGATATAGTCTCTATATATATATATATAAAAAAAAAAAGTAGAGAAAAATCTATGTATATTAACCCTGTCTAGTGCCTAGATATGTGGAATGTTTTGTGCATTGAATTGCCTTTTTATCTCAATAAATATAGTGCTTCCAATATTCTATTATTATTAACATTCAAATAAATTAGTGTACATAAACAATTTTGGAAATAATCTTATCAGCTAAATTTATTTTATTACCTTAATTATTGTGTTGAAAAATTAATCTTTTTCCTAAGAATAAAAATGAAAATTTCATAAAAAAAATAAAAGCAAATGTTACTTCATCTATTACAAGAGAATTGAAAGAGAAAGGAATTTCCCAGCTCAAATAAGCTCCTTAATATAATAGTTAAATCCCTCGTTAATTTGAAAATTAACTATAGTATCATTGCACTAAAACAAATTGATAGATGATAATATAAATTATTTATTAGTGTAATATTCGCACCAATTGAGGTGTTAGCTTGAGACGTTAGTGAATTCATATCAAATAAGTGGAAGAGGAAATATAGATATATAAGTGTTAAGGCATCTTATAATTGGAAAGAGGGCTTTTCAAAGTGATAATCAAAACAATAATGCCAATTCGACCGCAATCTAACTTGACACACAATTCCACGTTGGAACCAAGAAAACGGCAATGGATGACTTTGAAAAATAAAAAGAAACCCTAATAAGTCATTCATCAAAAAGTCTCAAAAAAATCAACTATGCTTTTAATTTTAGTATCTGCATCCAATAAGCTTCGTGGATCTGAAATTGATGCTTAAATTATTGACAGACCAAGTATAAAATTATTAATTTATTATTTCGATTAATATTCAGTTTCAAACTGAAATAGAGGGTTAACTTTCACAAAATAAAAACTGAATTTAAACTATATGCTCAAGATTTTAATTTTATTTTGAAACTAATAATTATTGACCACCACTTGGTCTAATTTTGATTGATTTAATTTCAATTCGATCTGAATTTGAAATCAAACCATTATCATGCTTACCCGGTCTAGCTCTAACCGAATCCAGAAGCCCACCCTTAACGATATTTTCCACCCTCATCCCATCCGACACGACGCGCGACTCTTTCAATTTTGTCCATATTTGAATATTTCACAATAACCCCCAGACAATTCCCACAAATTCCATCCATATCCCCCAATAAACTTTTCCCGCAAGGCGTTGCTTTATGACCTATTTGGCCGGTCCCGTCGCACTCGCTCACTCTCTCTGTGTTTTCTCCAAAATTCACAGTTTCTCATTCATGTCTTCTCTATTTCTCAGCTATCAAAACCCTAATTTATTTTCCATTTCCATGAATTTGTAGACAACTTCCAAAAACCCTTTCCTTTTTTTTTTTTTTTTTTGAAAAATTTTATGAATTTATACTGATGATTTTTTTTTCCTTGCGCCAATTTCAACTCATCGAACCCTGATTAGGTATTTGGGTTTTACCCAATTCTTTAAGGGAATTAGTTCATGGTAAAGCTCGATTCTTTGAAACGGATTCGACACTTGCCATGGACTCGAATCCTGTGATTTTCGATATCAGCTCCGATGAAGAGCCGATGTTTGATGAGCGTAGCGGTTGTGATGATGATGATCATAATTGGTTGACTCAACTCATCGAGACCTTCGATAAAGGAGCAACCCATTCCGATGATGTTGTGGTAGTCGGCGAGTATAACCCGCCTAAGCCCAAGTCTAAGTCTAACTCGTCTTTGAAACCGGTTAAAGATTTTGAGGATGATGATTGTGTGGTTTTGGATGACAACCCAGATAAGCGAGTCGATGTTGTTGATGAGCCGGACAGCGATGGCGATGAAGTGCTTGTCGTCGGACAAAAGGGACAGGTGCGTATATGGCTATTATCGTAAACTAAAAATAATTTGATTTCTGGATTTCTTTTTTATTTTTTTTTATGGTTGGTTGTCTGTGCACATTTGGTTTCTATATATATATTTTGTTATTTCTCGTCTCTTTTAAAGTGAATTTGGAAATTGAATTTTCTTTTGTCTTGTTACATTTGTAAATGGGGAACTCGTAGTATACTCTCTCATTCAAGTAACATATCAGGAAAATATGAAACTTATCTGGCATTTGGCATTTGGTGAGACTGCTTCAGAGTGTTATTTTATGTATCTGCACTCACAAGTGCATAGTAATATACCTATCAGTCGATCCTTACACACCAACTATTTCTCTTCACATTTATATGCATTTAGTTTTTCTCATCTATGTTACCATGTTCACAAGGGTTTGTTTGTGTGGAAAGGTTTTAAGATATTGTATGGAGGAGAGAAAGCCCTCGTTACCTAACTCAAGCTCTTCTTCTTCATCATCATCATCTTTAGACTACGATTATGACTATCACTTCTTGGTTGGAGGAATCTCTTCTTTTTCTTTTCTGATGCCTTGTAATATTTTAATGCTGCATAACATTAATATGTGCTGTTATGTGGTGCATCCAGATATCAGTGATGATATTTGGCTAAACTTCCAATTTCCAAGGCATACTGGGCACCTTTAGATTCAGCTCTTGTGAACAGGCAGAATGTCTGCAATGATTTTGGTATATGGTATGATATGCATTGTTTGATCTGATTTGTTGTGAAGTGCTATTCTTCTACTTGTGTCAACTGGCTTGGATTTTCTGCATTGACCAAACAAAACAATTTTGTGTAGGTAGAATTGGTGCCATTTTTCAGTTTGAATGACAAACTGAACTGATGAATCTTTTTGAAAATCTAGATCATGTGGTCCAATGACAAAGTGCTGCAATTTTCTAGAAATTTTCATGAATGAATCACTTGTCCTGTTTTTAAACAACTTAAAAAAAGAAAAAGAAAAAAAGGAGATAAGAAGATATAGAGCGCTCTGCCTGTTGTCATATGCTTAATGAAATGGAACTTGTCATGTGGAGAAAGGTTGAGCTTCCATTTTCCCTTGGGCCAGCCACTGCAGTTGCTGTCCGAGAAAGGTCCTTTTCCCCATGGAGCAGGTCCAAAAATTAGAAATGAATTGCCGTTTCTGCTTTATATCTGGATAGGTATGGGCAACAATCATAAGCTTAAAGGAGATGTTTTAGCAAGAGGGTTATTTGCTAATTTCTATGAATGCTATGGCAGAGTCTTCGTTTGACATCATATGTTAGCCTCACTTTTTTTGGACTGTCCAAATCTATCAATCTAAAATGTTTTTCTATTGATAACCAGTCGCAAAATGATGGGAGTAAGTTAGAATCATACCTTAAATTCAGACCACAAATAATAACCTACTTCTGAACCTCAAAAAGAAAATTGATATTTGGCTGAAGCATAATCAGGTGATTGTGCTTTCTGCTGTTCCAGATCTTGAATATTCTCTGCTCACTTTGAGAATTGATAATGATACAGAGTCTTACAGACATTATAAGCAAATTATGGATTTTATTGTTTGAGGATCACTCGTTTATATGTCTGTGAGATCGTTTGTTTTAATAATTGATGCTAATCTTTTTCTTGTTCTGCCTTCCTCCTCCTCTCTTCATGCTGATAATCTCTTAACCTGATATTACTGCAACTGCCTCCTTTTTCTTTTACTTTTCACCTATATCTTATTTTTGTGATTGAAAGATCTAATCCTCTGTCCTTTTTAATCTGTTATTTAAGGTTTTTGCATGGTAATTAAGGAAAAACCATCGAAATTACAACAAAATACTTCTTAATTCAACTACATTATCCTTTATCTCATTTCATTTCTCAAATCTCCAGAATTCTCTCTCTATCAGACTACCATTAAAATAAAATTGAGAGAGAAAAAGGGACTTCATAAGAATAATTAACGTGGTTAGTAGAGATAAGGGTAAAATTTCCCAAAAAAAAAAATAAAAAATAAAAAATTTAATGCTCCTTAATCTTCTCAAAACAACAGATAATTTTGGACAAAACAATTTGTCAAAAGTGACAGATAAAAGTGGATGGTGGGAGTAGTAATTGTGATTCAGATGCTTGTTTTAATTATTTTATTATTGTGGTTACAGATTGCTTGTAGAGACTATCCTCATCCAAGGCATCTTTGTGTTAAATTTCCCTTCGGTTCAACCCCACATCAAAGACACTGCGACTTGGTAACATCACTTTCTAAAACTTGGATTCTCTCGAGATACCACATTTGTTCCTTCTACTCTAATGATTAGCTTTGTACTATTCTGATAACATTCTTCCTGAAACACAGTGCCACTGTTACGTCTGTGACTCACTTGCGCCATGTGTACACTGGGGTACAGGTGTCTCCAGTATCGACCACTGTCATGCCACTGATAAAGTGGAGATATGGAAAAGTCAGAGGGAAAATTTCAGGCTGGGGAAAAATGCTGCCCTGCCAGTCTCTGCATGTCCTAATGCTTGTCTTCCTGTAGCAGTACCCCAGGCTCACCATGTTGCGACCCTTGATGTACAGTTGCCGCCTAACTTAGTAACACAAGATCAGGTCTCCAGGCCAACTACTATTCGTCCTTGCCCTTCTGCCCGGATGACTATTCCGAGTATAACAGGTCAGTATAGAACCAGACAAACAGGATGTGCTCAGAGCAGAAATGGAGTCTTGCCTCGCCCTGTTTCACGGCAGCTAAGCAATATAAGTAATAATGCCGTTTTACGGAATAGAGGCACACAATTTGTCTCCAATAATACAACGTTTAAAAGGCCGGGAATAATCAGACTCAGGAATGCTTCTGCAATGAACCAATCTGTGTATCTGAACAACATCAATCGTCCTCCTGCATCAAACTATGTTAGGAATACCGTTCCATTGGCTACGGTAAATGCTAAAAGTCATTCTGCTGGGTGGCAGGATGTTGTTCCCAACATGATTCCAGACTCTTATGCTTATACAAGTCCTTCTCAGCCCGATATGGGCTGTATAAACATAGACACAGTGTCTTCTCAACCTGAGGTGTTAAATGAACTTATTCCTCAGTCAAATGATGCTCGAAACATCTATCAGCTCGGAAATCAAAGTCAAAACATTATGGATTCAAGTTTCCCTGAATTTGACTTCTGGATTAACAACTTGAATCAAAGCAATCAGCAGACTCCGGCTGAAAGTGTTCCTCTTCCTGGCACAGGGTCCAACCGCAAGCCCACAATTATGAAGCAGTTAAGTTCCCAGTTGGGTGAAAGCACTGAAGTCCAGCACAAGGACAATGAGTATGACAGCTGGTTGTTCAGTGAATATGAAGCTTGTGTGCCTCCTGATACAAATGCCTTTTCTGCTGAACCTTCTATGCTGGATGTAGGTATGCTCTATTTTGATTTCGAACCTTCTATGCAGGTGTAGTTTGAGTTACTAAATGTGCTTTATTGAAAAGGATTAAAACTGGTTCATTCTGCAGTGGTACAATCATTTTAGACTATGAAGTGTACAAATTGTCTATGTGATAAATGATTCTGTACAGTGCCTGGCTGTTATGTAGTCCTATATATTCAATGAATCCTATTCATGATCATGTTTGGTGGTCACTATACTTTCTTGAAATGTTCCTGTGCTTCCCATCTCGGAAGCTGCTTCAAACTTGTGGTAATTGGAACTTTGGAATGAATTTACTGGAGGCTTGTCTTTGTTCAAGTTGTAGTTGTCATCTGGTTTGTGATTCTTGTGGACTTTGAGTTAATTCAAACCTCTAAGGGATGTGTGTTTTTTCCATTTTTCCCCCTTAAATTGAGGCTTGCAGAAGAATGTTTGTTTCTGCAATGCATTCGCAAGAAGAAACAGAATTGAAGAGACTCCTGTTTTTGCTCTAGAAAGAAAGCAACTCAAATCATCAAATGTATATTTATTCCTTGGAGTAGGAGTGTCTCTGGTCAGATTGTTTATCCGGAATTGACTGCTTGCTTTCAATTTCAAATGCTGAGCCTATAATGGAATGGTCGATTGTTGATATTCAATCTTTGATAAATAAAGAGAATTTATTATTGCCAGTATAAATGATTCAGTTATGAAATGGACATTACCTATCTATGAACTGAGCAAATGGAGACGAAGGATTTATATAGTCGGTGGAATAGTTTGGAATCTCAACTAGTTTGGAATTAAGTTTTAGTATAAACGTTTTACCCGTACATTATTGAATCTAAATTTCTATCCCAATAAAAAAAAAAAATAATAATAATAACAATCATAGCTATGCAGACTTGAGAAAATAAGGCTTATGCGAATATGAGAGAATTTATAATAGTATGGCAACCATTTCAATTATCTTCATGCCATCAAACATTTCATTAAAAGGTTTTATGCTTTTCCAAATTAATTTGAGTTAATTATACCAAATTACTTATTTAATATATTTTGTTTTTACGTATTTGACTATCAAATTATTAGTCCATTGTTTGCATTTGAAATTTTAATTTAAGGGCCTGAAATTTTTCATTACAACTAAATTGATCCAACTGCAAAATTAGATTTTACGTATCTGTGTTCTTATTCTTTGATACCTAATAAGTAATTTACATAAGGTGGATTTTTCCTTTTTTTTTTTTTAAAAAAAATAATAATCAAACATTTAATTTCTAAATTTTAGAACAAAGTATTAATATATTCTTATTTTTTGATAAAATTATTAATTATTTTCTAAGACTTAGCCTTATTAAACTGTTCAGTCTTTTGATTTTAAAAAATATTATTTTTATCACTAAGCTATAAATAAAACGTAAAGAGTCGAATAATCAAATATCACAATATAATACTAATTTGATGAAGGAATTATATAGTTTAATAAAGTTAAATTTTTGAGAAGAATCAGTGATTTTGCTAAACAATAAATATGTGATTGTAATTTTCGCTGAACTTACAGACTAAATTGTTAATTACCTTAAGGTAAAATTTTTTGGGTCAGTTTTTGATGTTTAGATAGCTCCGTTGATCTTTGACGCTTGAAAATGATTTCATGCTACTGAAAATAATCAAGTAGAAACGTTTCCCTCCAGAATATAGGCGACAGAACTTTTCCTGTCATACACATAGAAGGAAAAGTTTTTCTCTTAACTTTGCCATTGTCCGAATTTCGAGGGAAAGTTGTCCCTCGCAATATATATTTACTTGTTTTTCTCTTGTAGTAATTGGTTTGGTTGTTCTAGTCTCTTCTTCCACCTCCGGTCAGCCGTCAGTCACCTCCAGTTCGGGTGTTTGGCAAATAGCGAAAAAGAAAGCAAAGAGAAATGGCACTGTGGTTGGAAACAGGGTCCGACCCGAAATCCGAGAGCGAAATTGCTGATCTTGAAGCTATCTCCGCCATTAAAGAGTCTGCTGCTATTGAACTGAAGGTCCTTTCTCCCAATTATTATTGTTTTTTTCAATTCAAAACAGCATATTTTTGGGGTTTCAGTGTTTCTTTTTCTTTTTCTATCGGCGAAGGAGAGCGTATGAGAAATTGGATTGTTTATAGGTGAATATAGAGAGTCACACTTAAATGGTTCTAAAGTTCAGCATTTTTTTTGTCTTTTTCGTCTTTGCTTTTATTTTCAGCAATTCACTTGAGCATGAAGTAAAGTTTTTTGCTCTATCAATTTTCGAAACAAATTTTTGTCGGGTTACTGGGTGGAGTAGTTATAATTTAATTTACATAGAAGGCATAGCTATATATATTATCTTCCACAAGTCGAATGCTGCTTATTACATTCGTTGGACCAGTATCTTTAATGGGTATTCTTGAAATGTTTGTTATTTAGCTGACAAAATATTAAAGTTTATCAATTGGATTAATTTTTTTAAAAAACTGTAACTTCCAATCATTTCTCAATGTCTTGTTCCTCTTCAATTCACTGTGCTTTTTATGATTGTTCTGTTTATCCTTGTAGGAGCAAGGTAACAAGTATGTGAAGATGGGTAAAAAGCATTACTCTGATGCTATTGATTGTTACACAAGGGCAATAAATCAGAAAGCTTTAAGTGACTCTGAAAATTCAATTCTTTATTCAAATAGAGCCCATGTAAATTTATTGCTAGGAAATTATAGACGCGCTCTTATGGATGCCGAGGAGGCTATTAAGTTGAGTGCAGCTAACATCAAGGTAGTTATTTCTTTCTTCATGTTCTTGGTCATGCCTATGTCAAAATTGAAGTCTCATGACTTTTGTTTTTGGCGTTTCTGTTGGTTTAAGTAGGCACTATATCGAGCTGCAAAAGCATCTTTGTCTTTGAATTTGCTGACCGAGGCAAAAACTTATATTGAAAATGGACTAAAGCAAGATCCAAATAATGAAGAGCTAATAAAACTTTCTAAGCAAATAAATTCACTGAAGATGGAGCAGGATAAGCATGAGGCTAAAGTTTCCAAGGCCGTGTCAGATGCCAAGGTCTGATAGTTGCAGTTTGGAAATAATTATTAATCTATAATGATGTGGAGACTCACACACTTTTCTTTATTGATACTGCTCAGGACCTTGTTTCGGCAATTGAAGGTAGATGCTTGAAGATGGGGAAGGCTATGTTTCGAGAACTTACTGGATTAAGAAAGCCTGTATTAGATAAAAGTAACATGCTACACTGGCCAGTTCTTCTCCTTTATGCAGAGGTCATGTCCAGCGACCTTATTGAAGATTTCTGTGAGACAGACATGATTATGACCCATCTTGACATGATATCCTTGTTTTTAGCATATTTTTAAATCTCAAATCCTATTTGTAAATTAATTTTGACATTAGATGTGGTACAGCCTTAAATTTATTGCACGTGTGATATCCATAACTTTCACACATGTTTTCAGAAACTTGTCCATCATTACCATGGGACTCAGAAAATAATTATACTCGTGAAGCTATTGAACTCTACTATGAGGTAAACTTTGATATGTTATTTTTTTTTTCTCTTCTATCTCTTATAAATATGTAATTTTTTGAAAAAAATTTTAGACAGATTTTTTACTTTGAATGGAACAAGCATAATGTGTCAAACATTAATGTGAAATGGTTATTTTTTTAGTTATTTTTTGTTTCTTCTTCAATTCTAATCCTGTGTTCTTGATTAATCAGGCTGATTCTGGAATTTGTTTATCCAAGTCTAAAATTCTATATTATCTACTCGAAGGGACTGCAGGTGCTCATGTAGAAATTGGTGATGAAGAGAAGGATGTGACTTGTAGTACTTCTCATTGTTACACTGCAGGTGGTATGTTCTCTAACCAGCTTCCATGTCAAGCAGTGTTGCTTGTATTTTTCTTTAATCATGATATCTGGCAATCTATGTTGGAGAATGAGAATGCTTCTCTGTTGCATTGGAAAGAAATTACCACTTCTGAATTATATGCTCTGGTGCTGATATTTTTATTTTTCTTCCCTCTCATTGATCTACTAGTTACTGATTTAGTATATGCTGAAGAATAGTCTCTACTGTTAAGCAAAAATTGAGGTCTGGAATTGTATTTATCTGATCATTTGTGCTGCATTTTTTAAAATATTCCTTGAAAATTATTTTGCAGTGAATTAATAATGGTTACTAAGTGCATTTACTACATGTATATTTACCTGAACTCGCTGTGTTCGTTCTGTTTAGGCAAAGGCTCTTCAAAATGGGTAAAGTTAGATGAAAAGAGAAAGCTTTACGATATTCTGAGAGAACCTGACTTCATCATCTCAGGAATTCCAGGTCAGCTTCCATTTCCATGCCAGGTTTTTATGAGGTGCAACTGCTTTTTCATATACATTGTTGGTTCTCACTCTTTGATGATTGCCATGCATGCAGTGTTTTATGTGGTTTCAAAGAGGTCCAGCTTCTATAGAAAGTTCAGAGATGGTAAATGGGTTCTCCCGTCATGAGATAGGCTGTGCTGATATGGCATGCAGTATTGCTGGTTCTCTCATGTGACCGAGACAGGAGTCAAGGTGTTCAATAGCAAGAATTATACATGTAAACCTACCATTAAGTAAGGGCAGCATCCCTGTTCATCCATGAGGCCGCCTCCAATCTTGTCAGTATCTGCGGAAACAAGGGTCAAGCATTGTTGTTTAGATTGGATCTTGTCAGGTTTTACAGCTGTTCCATGTCATTTGTGGGGGGGGTGGGGTGGTTGGGGATCTCAGTTACAGTCTAAACCAAATTCATTTGGTCATTGGTTTTCCCTTTTGCTTGTATTGTATTATTTGACGCTCGACAAAACTTGAATTGCTCAATCTTGATAAGAGGAGACGTGCTGCGAAGACTCAGCTGTCTTTTCCTTCAGTATTTTTAGTGGATAACAAAATTTTATTGGACCGCACCGCTCTAATTTTCCTGACTAGCAACGTCCTTTTCTTTACTGTTTTCGTTTTTCTTTAGCTGCCATCATCTTGTTGGAAATTTCAAGGTACCAAAACTCCAGGAAAGTGCAATGACTTTCTGCTTGCAGCTCAGGTCAAAGTTCGGTGGATTTTCTTCCTTTTTCCAGATTTTTTTATTTGAAATCCATCTAATACTTGCAAACTTTCTAGTTCAACATTTATAATTTAAATAAAATCTATATATGTAGCAAATTATGGTCTACATTTAATGCAATGGCTCATCTACTCTTGTGTGCATCTCTCTTGTCTTTCCTATTCTCTACAACCAATGGAGATGACTCCATTGCCATGTTTAAACTAGCCAACGCCCTAACCCCCAGCCTAGGTGGGCGCTGGCCCAACAATAGAAGTACTGACTACTGCACATGGGACGGGGTTAAATGTGACTCCTCGTTACGCGTTGTTGGCATCAATCTCGAAAGCAGAAACCTCGCTGGCACCCTTCCCGCCGAACTCTCTACTCTTTCTCAACTCAATTTCCTCAATCTCCAGGAAAACCATCTTTCCGGTCCCCTTCCTTCTCTAACCAATCTAAGCTTGCTCCAAGAACTACGTCTTGACTCTAACAGCTTTACCAGTATCCCTCAAGGCTTCTTTAAAGGACTTGCCAACTTGAAGGTCCTGAGCATGAGTCGTAATACCTATTTAGCTCCTTGGACTATTCCTACTGATCTTACTGAATGTGTGAGTCTAATGACTTTCGAGGCATGTGAAGCCAATATTATTGGCTCTATACCTGACATATTTGCCTCCTTTCCCAGTTTGCAGAATCTCAGGCTATCTTACAACAAGTTGACAGGAACCTTGCCTGCATCATTTGCAAGCACAGAAATCCAAAACTTGTGGCTCAACAATATGGGATTATCAGGTGCCATTGATGTTCTATCATCAATGACACAATTAAAACAGGTTTGGCTTCATAGGAATAAATTTTCAGGACCAATTTCAGATTTCTCAAACTGCAAGAGTCTATTCGATCTGCAGATTAGCGATAATCGGTTTACTGGGATTGTGCCGGCCTCCTTAATCTCACTTCCTCAATTGTTAAATGTTTCTTTATCAAACAACAAATTGCAAGGTGCTGTTCCTGAGTTCTCAAGCAATGTTAGAGTTAGTGATGGTATTAACAATTTTTGTGTGAGCACTCCTGGAGTTCCTTGTGATCAACAGGTGAATATAATGCTGGAGATTGCAGGTGCTTTAGGATATCCAGAGGCTTTGTCAAAATCTTGGCGAGGAAATGATGCTTGCGAGAACTGGGCATTTATTATCTGTGATGAACAGAAGAATATAACTACTGTCAATTTCGGAAAGCAACATTTTGCAGGAACTATATCTCCTGCATTTTCCAATCTTACAGCTTTGACCAATTTGTTTCTGAATGATAATAATTTGACCGGTTTCATTCCTGATAGCCTCACTATGTTGACTCATCTTCAGGTTATTGATCTCTCCAATAATAATCTCTCTGGTAAAATCCCAGCCTTCTCGTCATCAGTGAAGTTAATCATTAGGCCAGGGAATCCTTTCCTCAGGATAGACACAAGTTCAGGGATTGAAGGGCCAAATCTTGTGAATTCTACTGGAACACGACAGAGGGGACACAAGTTATTGCCATCCATGATTGTTGGTATTGCTCTTGCTATTACAACTTTCATTGCTCTTGTTTTGCTTGCATCTTTTAAGTACAAGGTCAAGAAAAGGCATAAAATGTCAGGAAGAATTAAAGATCCAGAGAACAGGAATATGTCCTTTGACCATACTAATTGTCATATTTCGAGAGAAGATTTTGGGTTTTCAGTCGAACTAATTCGACAAGTGACTGATAATTTCAATGAGAACAACATTTTGGGAAAGGGAGGATTTGGTGTGGTTTATAAAGGCAAATTGCAAGATGAAAGTAGAATTGCTGTGAAGAGAATAAAAGCTACTGCAATAGTTAACATAGAAGGAATGGAGGAGTTTCAAGCTGAGATAGCTGTGCTTACAAAAGTAAGGCACAGACATCTAGTTTCTCTTTTGGGTTACTGTGTATATGGCAGTGAAGGTTTCTTGATATATGAGTACATGCCTAAGGGAACTCTTGCACAACATTTATTCGAATGGCATGAACGCGGGTTCTCTCCTCTTACTTGGAACCAGAGGGTTACCATCGCGCTGGATGTGGCGCGGGGAGTGGAATATCTGCACAACTTAGCTGAGCAGAGTTTAAGTTTTATTCATAGAGATTTGAAGCCTTCAAATATACTTCTTGGAGATGATATGAGAGCTAAGGTCTCAGATTTTGGTCTGGTTAAAAATGTACCAGCTGGAAAGAATTCGTCCGAAACAAAAGTGGCCGGAACATTTGGCTACCTTGCACCTGAATATGCTGGTAAGTGCAGACTAAAGTTTTCAATTTGCAACTTCAAAATGTTAACTATTACAATTTTACGAGGCACTAACACTCAAATATTGACAATCTCGTTCCTTTTTAAAATTTTCCTGAACCCTGTAAGAAAATGAAACTGAAGATGCCTTATTTTTGGGCAGAAACTGGAAGGGTGACAAGGAAGGTGGATGTTTTTGCATTCGGAGCGATATTGATGGAGATGATTACAGGAAGAAAAGCCATAGATAATACAAGGGAAGAGGAAGGATGGATGCATATGCATTTAGTGACATGGTTTAGAGGGGTCCTAATGAACAAACAGAACATATTGAATGTAATAGACCAAAGCCTAAACCCTGATGAGGAAACCTTAAAGAGCATTTGTAAAGTGGTTGAGCTAGCAGAGCATTGCACCTCCGATAACCCACGTCGAAGACCAGACATAGCTCATGTAGTTATGGTCTTGGCACCTCTCGTGGAGCAGTGGAAACCTACTAGCCAGGAAGAAGAGGATCAACACACTTCTTCAACTTCCACTGTGTTCAATGCATCACAATCATCCTCTAAATCTCTAGTGGCAAAGGTTAAAACTTTCTTGATCGATTCACAATCACTTGGAAATAAAAAACTAAAGCATGTTACATTCTGAATATTGATGCTATATTGCACTTTAATTTATATACTAGGTAGTGTTCGGTGACAGTTTTGAAGATCAACATGACTTACCCATTAATTATGGTTTTTGTACTTTAATTGAGTCAATCAGTTGACTTTTCTTTCTATTTGCTGTCTTCATGGCTATTCTTCTTTTGCCAACTATTTCATGGAAAATAAATCCAAGCTTAAACATTTTTATGGCAAACATTTCAAAAACGTTACTTCCTAATTAATATTAAGGGCTAAAACTAGAAATAGAAAACCACAGCTTCTATTTAACAAACTAATAGTTTCAAGATAGAAGAATATGTAAAAGTAAAATAGATTTCCATTCTGCTGAATGATAATCAATAATCACACTTCAGAAAATATAACACAAGTAACTAATAATCACATAAACAAACAAAAAAAATTATATGAGAAATGAAATCTACCTAAACCCATAATAAAAATATATATAAAGCAACAATTAATTTCCCTAAACCTTATCAAATACCAAACTCTTTTTGAGCATTATCTATATCACCATAAGCATAAGCATGGCCACCATGACTTGTAAGATCCATTCCAGCCATTTCCTCTTCTTCTGTAATCCTCAACAACTTCAACTTATGCAAAACCCAAAACAATGTCCCCATAGTAAGACTAACCCAAGCAACAATAACCAAAATCTGCACAATATGTGCAGCCAACAATCTTGCACCTCCACCCATCAACAGCCCGTACGGTCTTCCTTCATGACCAGGATATACTTCTTCCACATAAGCCTGCTTCGCAAATAATGCAGTAAATATAATTCCCCAAGACCCACAACCGCCATGAAGTTGTGCTGCCTCCAGAGGATCATCATAGCGAAATATTTCAGCCAATTTATTAAATCCAATCAAAACCCAAGCAGCTACAAACCCACAAATGACTGAAGCCCAAGGATCAACAACTGAGCAACCACTAGTAATGGCAGCAAAACCACCAAGTAAACCATTGCACACATCAGTAACATTCCAATGACCTACAAGTAATCTTTTTCCAAATAGAGTAGTTAGTGCTGCTGTACAACCAGCTAATGTAGTTGTCACTCCAGTTCTACCAATTGCACTCCACTGACCATAATAAGTTTCGCTCTTGCCATAGTTCTTCAAAATATTTAAAAATGAACCAGGATTAAAACCATACCAACCAAACCATAACAAAAAAGTACCCAATACTACTAATGTACCACTATGGCCACGAAGACTTACTGCATGGCCATTATGGTCGAACCGGCCAATTCTGGGACCTTCAATTATGGCACCCCAAAACCCAGCAATAGCACCAACTAAATGAACAACACCAGAACCAGCAAAATCAATAACTCCAGTACCAAACAGTAAATGATCTGATCTTCCAGGGCTAGCCCACCCATCAGATGACCAAAACCAATGAGAAACGATAGGGTAAACTAAACCAGTCAAAAAGGATGAATATACTAAATACGAAACAAATTGGGTTCTTTCTGCTATAGACCCACTTGTTATTCCTGCTGCTGCTATAGCAAATGCCCATTGAAATAAAAAATACCCATAATCAAAAGATGCTGAAGGGAATTCATTTAAGCCGAAAAAATGTTTCCCTATAAACCCATTTGACGGTGTCCCAAATGCAAAGGCAAAACCGAATATATAGTAAAAAAGGCCGCCGGTGGCAGCATCAAGAACGTTGGTAAGCATTATATTCATGGTGTTTTTGGCTCTTACAGAGCCTGCACAGAGCATAGCAAACCCTAATTGCATGGCGAAAACTAAATACGTGGAGAAAAGAAGGTAAGTATTATCTACTGCATAGCCCGTATCGATAAATTTATTGGAGATTGCATCAAAACGGTTGCAGATGTAGTCGGCTGCAGCGGTGGCGTTGGTGGCCGGACCTAAGAGTGAGCGGAGGTCGGCGGCTGAGCAGGTGAGAGAGGAGGCCATTGAGAGTGTACGTGAGTGAGAGCGTGGAGGCCAGAGGGTTGGATCTGTATTTATATATATGGGGAAGGGAATCGTAAAAGATTCCAAGAAGTAAATTCGCCAAATATGGAAACATGGATTCTTTAGTTGGTAGTTACATTGGCAGGTTGTGTAGTGAAGTAAAACAATTCTGTTGGTCAAAATTACTAGAAAATAGGATTCTGTTTAACTTAAATATATTTATAGATAGGAAGATGTCATCATATTAATTTGAATAAAATAAGTAATTGAAATTTTAGTTTTATTACAATTCTAATAATAAAATGGTGTTTTACGTCTGATCTTAAAGAGTGGGATCATATCCCTTTTTTGTTTATTATTAATTTTGTACTGAATGATTTAAGATTAAGAAATAATTTGTTGAAGTGATTTATTCATTTATTTATTTATTTATTTATTGTGATCTTCACAAACAAAAATACCTTATTCATATAACCTAGTATATAAGATAGAAAGGCAGATTCCTTAATGCTCTGTGTCAGAAAGAGAAACTACATTCAATTACGATGACAGAATTTTCCTATTTATCTATAGGATTAAAAAGGTTGGCTGTCTACAGCAAAAAGAGGAAATCCTAACCCGTTTCTCATAAAGAATTTTCAATATGTCAGCAAAAGAATTGTCCAGTGCGTTTTTTGCTTATATGAATGTCGTTTTGCGGTAAACACCTTTACAATCTTTGATCATCACAAAAATATTAAAAACCACTTTGATGAAGAACAAACATTCAGTTGCCAAATCTAAAAATCAGGTTGCCCTCTTTAAAAGGGCTAAAAGCATAAACTTTGTGAAGAGATTTATCAAGTGGTAGTCATACCAACCATATTATATTTATGAAGCCATGCACATTATAAGTTTTCTGTATGTCGAGAAAAGAAAGAAGGGCACCAAAGCATCCCCATTCCACAAAACACTTAGCCAGGCCTTAATAGATAACAACACCAAGATATAAAACACTTAATCATGCCTCAGTAGATAACCCTAGACACACGCATCGAGCACACACCGAAGGCAACTCCCTTCGTGCATCAGATCAAATGCCTTGTTGATCTCTCCAAGAGTCAAATTATGTGTGATGTACTCATCCACCTTAATTTCCTGTAATATGAATGGAAAAGGATAAAGGATATTGTTACAGTTATATAATTGGAGATTGAAATGAATGACCAATTATCGATGATGCAAAAATCACCTTCTTCAGGTATTTGTCTACAAGCCAAGGCACTTGTGAACGGCTCTTGAAACCGCCAAAAGCAGTTCCTTTCCAGACACGACCAGTCACCAACTGGAAAGGACGAGTAGATATCTCCTGACCTGATGCTGCAACACCCACAATAACCGAGGTTCCCCAGCCCTGAAAATTTTCAGGCATATATCATAAGTGTTCTGCAGATCCACACATTGTTCTGCTACCAGTTCATGAACCACTTACCTTGTGACAACATTCTAAGGCAGATCTCATTACAGAGACATTTCCAATACACTCAAAACTATAGTCAACACCGCCATCTGTGAGATCAACAATGACCTGCTGAATTGGTTTATCATGATCCTTCGGATTCACAAATTCAGTAACTCCAAAATCCTTTGCTGCACAATGCAACTTACAGAATTAACTCAACAATGTAAGCAAGAAAAGTACTGAAAAAGCATCCTTCTACATTCCTTATCCTGTCCTTGTCACTATTTCACCAGCCAAAGAGAAGGAAACAAAATAAAAGAAAGAAAATTTGTTAATGAAAACGTTGAATCATGCTCTTTAAAACCCTAAAAGAAAATTACCAGCCAACAAACTATTTTCTCAATTTAACACCCTCAAAAACCATGGTCACAAAACAACTAAAGCCTTTAATGCGATGATCAAGGATTGGGAGGGAAAGAGAGGGGGAATCAGCAACTAGTATTTCATTTTGTCCACCATCAAGCATTTAGCTACAATTCCAAAGTAAAATGGATGTACAAATGCAGCAATCGAATCTATTAGACAAAATTCCCTCAATCTCAAGATAGCAAAGAATTTTTGAGAAATGAAAGTTCTACAAATTTATGATTGACTCCTGAAGAACATTAGATGGAAGGATACAAAGACATACCTCTTGCAAACTTTTTGCTGTCAATATCTATGCCAATTATTCGTGAAGCACCAGCTGTTTTTGCTCCCTCTGCAACCTATTGTTATAGACAGTCAAAATAAAAATGTCAGTATGCCAACATGACTAGGTGGTTCCATTATATTAACAGAAACACACACACACACACAAAGAAAGAGAGAGCTAGATGCCTGCATTCAAAACTTACTGCAAGGCCAACCGTTCCAAGCCCAAAGATAGCAACAATAGATCCGGGTTCTACTTTTGCTGTGTTCCAAACTGCCCCAAGACCTATAGCACAACAGTGTCACAGAGTTCTGTGTGAATACATGAAAAGTTGATAAAAGAATCTTGTCGTTGAGAAGCTTAGGATGACAATGACAGTAAAACAAGGAAACTATCAAGGGTCCACGGAGTAGAAGAAACATAATATCGTTTAGAATTATGTTATTATCTCCCCCCTCCTTCTCTTTCCACTTCAATTCAATAAAGGAGCATTAATAATAAATTCTTTCTAGTATATCCTTGTCCTATTTCTGTCATGAAATTTAATGAATCCCTAACAGCTTCAATCAGAAGAACAATCGCATAAACCAGACACAAAAAAGCAATCACATTCAAAAGGTGCTAGAGACGACTGTTAAAATCAAACCAAAAAATAAACTACACACATCCACCAGCTGAAGGAGCAATGCATTAGGCACTCATTCATCGCATGATTCCAAATACTCATATTATGTAGCAATAGTAAAATAATTAACCATTGACAGGTCAGTTTCTGCATAATGAACCAATCTTAGGGAAGATATTAGACTCTGTATGAAAATCAAAAAGGAGAGAACTACAAAAGAAAAAGAGGGAAACAATTTGACAGAGATAGAGAACTTCGACAAACAGAAGAGAAGAAAAAACACTTCAAATTGAAATAGCTCAAGCCCATAATAGCACTCTTTTTCATCAAGCAAAAAGAAGTTGTGTTTTGGTAACGATTCAGTAGGTTAAATACAGTGATAGATTAACCTTAGTAAACTGAGCCAGTATAAGAAATCATTACCAGTGGGAACGCCACAGCCAAGCAGGCAAACTTTGTCCAAAGGAGCTTTTGGATCAATCTTTGCAACACTGACATCATGTACAACTGTATACTGGCTGAATGTTGAGGTTCCCATGAAATGGTAGATAGGCTTTCCATTTATTGAGAACCGACTCTTACGATCACTCAGCATAACTCCAGCCCCAGTAGCTAAACGAACCTTGCCACAGAGATTAGTCTTTCCTGATTTGCAAAATTTACATTCTCCGCATTCTGCCTGGTAACAGGGAATGACATGATCACCTGGTTGAACCTCAGTGACCCCTTCACCAACACTTTCTACAATTCTGAGACAAAAATTCATCCACATCTCTTTTTTAAGCAAAGATGCCAGAAAACTCTTAATATCTAAAAGTGCTTTGTAAGAATGATATACATACCCAGCAGCTTCATGACCAAGGATACAGGGGAAGAGGCCCTCAGCATCCTAAAACACATGAAGTCCGATCATTACCAACATTAACAGTTATAAGTTCTTTTTCTGTTTTTCGAATAAACATAGCATCATCAAACCTCAGAATCATAGATCCTGTATAAAAAATAAGAAACTTGAACTCTACTTCATTACTGCAGTAAATAATAAGACTTTAATATGTGCTCTCCATGAAAATATAAAAGTACAAAAAAAAAAAAAAAAAAAAAAAATGATAAAGTAACAAAAAAAAAAAAAAAAAAAAAAACAATTAAAACTAGAAACAACCATTAAAAAAAAAAAAAAAAAAAAAAAAAAAACATAAAACTTAAACAACCATTAAAAAAAATTAACATAAAACTTAAACAACCATTTCTTTTCATATAAGAAGTTCCCAAGTAAACATCCAAATAGAAGACTAGAAATAAATAATTTTTTTAGCCTCAAACTGCCAGTGATTAGGGTTGAAGTGGGACCGGAAAATTGACTGTTAAACCTTATCTTATTGGAACTTGAAAGCTATCACATAAATATAAAACAATCACAACGAATCATTCAAGGATCATTGATTGTCGTTATGATTTTCTCAATGAATTATTATGCTTAGTTCCATTTCCTACAACAGCCCAATCGTAGACAACGGTTATAGAACACCAACACTCCACTCAATTCAATTACCCAAAAGCTCGACCACACTGAAAATCACAATCAAAAGAAAACTGTAATCGCACAAAGCGCATGAACAATTAGACATGGTATTATCTATACCTTGCCACTCCAGGTGTAAGCATCAGTATGGCAAAGAGCAGTGAACAAAATCTGAATTCGAACCTCCCCGGCCTGAGGCGGAGCAACCTGCACATCTTCTATAACCAATGGCTTGTTGGGCTCCCAAGCAACCGCAGCTTCACATTTTCATTTCACAACCAAACAGATCAGAGATTAAACATTAACAGGGTTTTATAAATACTGAAAATACAATATCTAAAGCACCTTTGCAAGTGATGACTTGACCTTGAGTAGCCATTGATGACAGAGAGAGAGAGAGAGAGAGATAGTGAAAGAGAGATTCAAAAAGAAGAATTGAAAAATGGGAAAGGTTCAGAGTAGCGGTGAGTGGTGGCTATAAGGACAATAAAAAGTCTATTATATGATATCCGATTGGAGACAGAGATAGCGGAGCTGATGAAGTACTGACCAATGTCGAGCGCTTGTTTTCTTCGTGGGGCATGGATTGGCTGATCCACACCCAATCCGGGCCCGTACTTGGAACCCGATCTGGTCATTCTGGGTTCTCTTCGTTTTTTAGTGGGCTTCTAACTGGGTTGAGTTTGGTCTTCTTGAACCGAAATAGAGGAGTCCAAATTCGGCGTAAGCCGGTGGATTGCGATTTCCAATTTGCATTGTTTTTGTTTTTTCTTCCATACCAAATATTCACACTAATATTAATACATTTGATACTACTTAATGGAATGAAATATCAATATAGATAGGAATTCCTATTCCCAACATGAAATACTATGTTGGATGATTTGAATTTTACAGGTGAATCAGAATTAAGCAAGAAAGAATCGTCGATGTCTTACTCCGTGATTTTTAGGGAACAAAAAAACAATAGCCTGACACAAGCGGTTTGGTCCAATTTAGATGCCTACATTGGATTATTTGAATTTTATAAGTGAATCGGAATTAAACAAGAATCTTATTACTAGATTTTATCTTCATCCTAAAAATAAGAATTTCAATTTTCGATTTGCAACAATGACTAACACCATCAAAATAAAAGCAACAATTGATATTTTGAAAAAAAAAAAAAACTATTTATTATCTATTTGAAGAATTCTTATCTTTTACTCTATTTTGAATTTCATTCAGAACTTCATTTGTATTCGAGCAAACTTAATTTAATATTAATGAAAATGTATGTATGAGTAACAACTATTAAGAATCATAATGATGCTTAACATTTAAATGAATGATAGTAATTAGTGAAGAGATGAGTAAATCTGGCATTTTAAGAATTTAAAAAAAAAAAAAAAAAGGAAAAATACGAGAGACTGACCTTCCTTGTGGAGAGTGGAGTAAGCGTAGAAAAGAGCAGAGGAGGAGAAAATGGGGAAAATGTGGAGTGGAGGATGCGAGAGAAAACATTTTATTTGTGTTTCATTCGAGGATTGACAAAATGACCACATCATGTCGCCATTTTTTGACATTCTTCCACCATGGAGTACATTTATCCCAAATCAAATTGTTATAGTAATAATAATAATTCACAGCAATTAACATATTAGCGTGTTTTACGGATGGGATTCAATCCTTATAAATAAAAGGAATCTCCGTTGTAAGTGATTCTTTGTCTGATGTGACGCTAATATGATTAGATTTAATCGGGTCAATTGAGAAAAAAAGATAAAATAATAATAGAAATTAATAACTTTTAGTTGTGTATATAAGGAATTGATATATAGCCCATTTATTATCAATTTATATATTTATTGAAATTAATTATTTTTGTATAGTTGAAAATAGACACAATAATATTATCAAAATTTCCTAAAAATTTAAATACAAAATGAGGTCTAGAAAAAAATTCAGAAAAACTTGAATTTCTCTTTTTATTTCTTTTAATTTTTTAATATAATCAAAAACATTGTGAAATTAACAAATTTAATTGTGATTTGATATTCAAATTGTTAATTAAATCAAAGCCTTTCAAAATTGTAGGTATTTTACATTATTGTTCAAATTAGGAACTAAAAATAATAATAAAAGCCAACCCTTAAAATTATTTGAAAATGAAACTTTATTTTTGTTCGACTTGAAATATTACTCAGAGTAATTTTTCAATTTCGTTTTTGATTTGATCCAATTTTCAATTATTAGATTAAATTAAAAAAACTTAATTAGATTAGTATTTTTTTTTTTTCAATTTTGATATAATAAATTTTGAATCAAACAAAAAACCTACCACATGCAACGTAATAAATTCCCAAAAGAAAAAAATGTGACTACAAAAAAAATTTCTTTAATTAATATAAAAGGAAAATTATTATTTAGTCTTTATGGAGTTTCTAATTTTCAAAAAATATATGAATGCGTTTACCACTTAGTTGAACAGTGTCAAATTACAAGGGTGCTTTCATGCATTTTTGAAAACACATAAACTAAGTAATTAATTTTAATAGAGTAGAAGGACTAAATAGAAAGTTTTCCAAATAAAAAAGCTATTTAAAAAAGTAAAAAAAAAAGAAAAGAAAAGACAGGGTTGATATGACAAATCTGATCCAATCTTGGCACGTGGATTCGCACGTGAGAATCATAGTTTCATATGTAGATCCAAAGAGTGAAAAAAAGGGCCTGACAAATGCTTTGTCGGTATCTTCAACATCATAATACTCTGGTCAAACAGGGATATGCTTGGTCCAACTAAAAACCGCCACGTTGTTATAATTGTCAGAATTAATATCCAATCAACCCTTTGACCAAGAGAATAATCCCCTCCATTCCTTCTCGTTCGTCGATCTTGTGCCCTTATTACTTGGAAAGCATCAAATCAATCATACTATTCATAAATTTTATACTCCCTCTTATTCCTCCATCCCATTAAAATCGTAAAATTTTTATTTCACTTTAATTTTTTATTTAAAATAAATGAATTTAACAAATTTAAAATTTAAGAAATAATGAAAAATTAAAATTTACAAATTCATTTCCATGAATTTGAATATATTATAAAATATAAATTTTGAAACGAATTCCATAAAATTTTAACGGTTCGAATTTTATGACAAAACTCTTCATTCTCCTCACTTTTGAAAATTATTATGTCAATGGTATTTTAAAAATAAAAGCATATGAATTTTTATATTTTTGAATTTATTCCAAATATAAAAAGTTTATTTATATTTATTTATAGATAATTTTCACATAGTAAAGTATCATTATTATAATTTAAGAAAGAATTTATTACATTTTTACTTTTTTGTTACATAGTTTAGCCTTTTATAACATATCTTATATGTTTTTATGTTATTCTTTCTATCTATTTCAATAATTTTATTATTATTATAACTTGGATACTTTTATTAATTTCTCGTTTCATACCAAATCCTTCAATGAAATTTAAATTCTTATTCCATTCTACAAACTAAACACAAAAATAAGATTTTTATTCCTTATTTCATTCTTCACACAAAAATATCTATTTAGACTCCATCAATAATATATTATCAATATTAATATCAATGTAAAAAAAATTAAAATCGAAGTAAACATAATGGAAAAATTATAGTCAATGAATCTTGAAACAAGACATGTATATACCAAAGCAAACGAAACAAATCACAGGAATGGTGGAAATGGGGACACGAATTTATCTTCATCGAAGGAGGCCTCAAATAACTTTCAAGCGCCTACCGCTGCAATTGCTAGAGTAAACGATGTATTCTGGGAACAGTCCCTAAGCCTGGCAATCGAGAGCCTGCTGTGCTTCGGTAAATGATGTATTATGGGCCGTGCTGCTACAGTAAAAGATGTATTCTGGGAACAGTTCGTAACTGAAAGAATTTATTTATAAATGAATTTTTCATGTTTTTTTTCATGTTTAGTATGTCTAGTCGTAATTTGATTTAAGAAATTCAATTGAATTTTTTACAAAATTATGTTTAGAATTATTCTTAAATAAAAATTTATTTGTCTTAGTTACTGAAACAACCCGAATTTTTATTTTCAAAAGTTATTCAATTAAATTTAATGAATCGACAGCCTGGAAATTAATATAAATATTTTAGTGTGAATACTATGAGAAACCGAACTGAAAAACGATTGAAAAAGCCGAAAACCAATTAAAAATCAAAGATTTGGGTCGAATCAAATCGAATCGAACCGGTTCGACCCAAACCATCTAGAAACTCCCTCCTCTCTATATTCAACGCTCACCCCTCACCTCTCACACACTTCCAGTCAGTCTGCGCCCCAGTTCACCGACAAACCTCCCCCAGCCACTGGCTCCTCCTTCCTTCTGTCTTCTTCTTTTTCTTTCTTCTCTTCTTCTTCTTGCTTTCTTTTCTCTCTTTTGCGTCTGGGTTCTCGGCAAGACAGAGATAGAGGCGGAGCAGCAGAATCGCACGCCACCGCCACTCCGCCGCCGCTTTTGCTGTAGCTCTTGCCGATCTGCCTCTCCCTCCTTTCGAACCAGCAGATCGCGCCACCGCCTAGCCCAACCGCCGGTCCAACGTGTCTCCAGCCACCAATAACGAATGCAGCACCACCACCCCATCGCTCCACCGCCCTGCCGCCGCTCCAGCGGGTCTTCAACCACCAGATCGACCGTCTCCACCTCCTTCTGCCACTGTCAGTCGGATCCGGCCACTTCCAGTGCACGTAGCTTCGATCCAGCATGTGTAAAAATCCCCGATCTAGCGAAAATTCGACAAATTATATTTGGGGTATAAATTAATCTAATTAATATGATTTTGAGGTAAAATTAATTTTAAAATGATTTTCGTTACTTGAATTAAATTTAATTATTGTAGTAATTAATTAGTCCTAATTTTTAACTTAATTTTAAGTCATTTTGCGTAGTTGATTCATTTTATGTGGTGAAATTAATTTAAGTTAAGTATTGAAATTATTGATTTAATGAAATATAGAAATAAAATACAGTATGAACTAACTTTTGAGGAAGTTAATAAAAGCACTTCGTGTTGATATTAATTTATTAACAATATTTAGTTAAAATTTTATACGGTATTAACCTAAATTAATTGAAAAGTCAAATAAGTCGATGTAATGGAATTAAAAAGAAAATTTTAATAAATGTCTGTGGTACGGAAATGTGGAGGGATGGGATTTGTTTTGAATTGAGTTGATTGCCGATGGATGGGCTGTGTGGTTTTGGAATTAAATTGATATAATGTGTTGATATTTTAACAGGTGGATAATCCAAATTTTAGGGGAGATGCTGCCGAAAAGTCGGTAGAAAATAAATTGTATTTTAGAAACTAAATTACTTATATCGATTAAGTTATTCATAGAAATTAAAAATATAGAATAAGATTATGAGAGGGATAAATAAACAAAGAAATAAATAAACAAGAGGAACGAATTTATATATAGTTCAGTGAATTAAATACCGACTAAAGTTATTAACGTTAAGAAT